TCACAGAGATCTGCCTGCCTCTGCCTCCTGAGTGTTGGGATTAAAGACATGTGCCACCACGCCTGGCTTTTTAAAAAATTTTTATAAATATTTTTATTTTACATGTATGAGTGTGTTGCCTGCATGTATGTGAGTGCACCTGTGTCATGCAATGCTGCGGAGGTCAGAAGAGGGCTTTGGATTCCCCTGGAGTTAAGGACGGTTTGTAGCCATCATGCAGGCGCTGGGAATCTAACCTGGGTCCTCTGCAAGAGCAGTCAGTGCTCTTAACCGCTGAGCCATCTCTCCAGCCCCAGTATAAAATGTTTTAAAAACATTTTCTTTTTTATTTTATTTTAATTATATGTATATGTTGTGTGTGTGTGTGTGTGTGTGTGTGTGAGAGAGAGAGAGAGAGAGAGAAAGAGAGAGAGATATATGCTCATGTATTCAGGTACCCCAGCAGGCCACAGGTGCAGGATCCTCTGAGCTGGAGTTACAGGTGGTTGTGAGCTGCCTGATGTGGGTGCTGGGAATCAAACTTGGGTCCTCTGGAAGAGAAGTTCACACTCTTAACTGCTGAGCCATCTCTACAACCCCTTGTAAATTTCTTTTTTTTGTCTTTTTGAGACAGGGTCTCTCTGTAGCCCCAGCTGTCCTGGAACTCATTATGTAGACCAGGGTGGCTTTGAATTCACAGAGATCCACCTGCCTCTGCCTTCTGAGTGCTGGGATTAAAGGCGTGTGCCACCACGCCCGACTTGTAGTGTAAATTTAAAGCTGTTTTTATTCCTTTGAGACAGCATCTCTCACTGAACCTGGAACTAGTTAACATGGGATAGTGATTTTTCCCCTTACTCTTCATTTCTCCTCTTTTCTCAAAAGAAAACAGAGGATTTAGGATGAACAACATCCCAGGATGCTAGCTGGGGTTCATCTGTCCCATGTTGCTTTCTTTTATTTAATTAATTATTTTTAACCAGGTGTGGTGTTGCAAGCCTTTAATCCCAGCACTTGGGAGGCAGAGGCAGGCGGATCTTATTTTTATATTATGTATATGGGTGTCTTGCCTGCATGTATATAAGTGCACCTGTGTCGTACAATGTCTGCAGAGGGCAGAAGAGGGTATCAGATCCACTGGAACTGGAGTTACAGATGATTGTTAGCTACCATGTGGGTGCTGGGATTTGAACCCAGGTCTTCTGCAAGAATAGCTAATGCTCTTAGTTGCTGAGCTATCTCTTCAGTCTTCTCTATTTTTTACAAGCTAGAGTTTGAACCCAGGACTTTGTGCTTGCTAGACAGGCAGTCTGCCACTGAGCTACATCCCCAACCCTATTTTCCCTTTTAATTACAACACTTTGCAAGGATATTTATTATTTATTTTTTGAGACATTGTTTCCCTGTAGCCCCAGCTGGCCTGGAACATGCTGTGCAGACCAAGCTGGCCTTGACCTCACAGAGATCCACCTGCCTCTGCCTCCTGGGTCCTCAGATTAAAGATGTGCACCACTATACCTTGCAGGATATTATCTTTTAACTTTTGGTTTCCTACTAAACTTCAAGGAATCCTTGTGTCATAGGATAAAGGTCTATCTTCTCAATCTTACTAAGAGCCTGGCATATTATAGAAGCTCAACAAATGTTTACAGGAACGCATGAACACAAGCAGTCCCACCTGCTTTGGTACCTTTTCCATCAGAGCTGTTACTCAGAACTAGTGTTTTGAAGTTTCCTTTAGTGTCTAGGTACTTGATTTAGAATATCTTCAATCAAGATTTTCTTAAGAAAGAGATGTTAATCACTAGAGCTAAATTTGGCAATGCAACTAATGTGACTAACATCATTTTTGCTCAAAGAATAGCAGGATAATTTAATAAAAAGAAATGATTTTTCTGGTATGACTTAAAAACCATTTCTAAATAGCTTCCAACAGAATTTTTAAAATTTATTTTATGTGTATGAGTGTATTGCTTGCATATGTGTAAGTGCGCCAGTGTCACAATGCGTGCCTCAGAGGTCAGAAGAAGGTGTCAAATCCCCTGGAACTGGAGTTAGCAGATGTTTGTTAGCTGCCATGTGAGTGCTGGGAATTGAACCCAGGTCCTCTGTAAGAGCAGTCAGTGCTCTTAACCATTGAGCCATCTCTCCAGCCCTAGATTTTTTATTTTTATGTGTATGAGTATTTTGTCTGTGTATATGTAAGTGTACCATGTGTGCAATGCCAGTGGAGGCCAGAAGAGGGCATTGGATCCCTTGGAGCTGGAGTTAAAGACAGGTATTAGCTGCCATGTTGGTGCTGGGAACTGAACCCAGATCCTCTACAAGAGCAGCCAGTGATCTTAACTGCTGACATTTCTCTAGCCCCTCAAACAGAATTTTGAATAATGGTGTCATCCCTGGAATAACCTCATAGCCTCCTGAAATGGTTATTTTGGAAAAGTTCACTTGGAAGTATAAATTTTGATACATCTATTATGTATGTCCAAAATAATGGTGCACACACACACAAAACCTTTCATGCTGGGGACATAGCTCAGTGGTAGTGCATCTGCCTAGCATGCCAGAAACTTGAGGTTGGACCCTAGCATGGGGGGATAACCAACACACAAAATAAATGAGGGGGGGGGATGAAGAATAAAAGGAACTTTTAGAAGAAATAAATTTGGATGGAATTTTTGAATTTTGTTTGAATGCAGTTTTGAAAGAAAAAACCTGGGAAGGTAAAACTGAGCAGTGGACATGTAAGATTTGACTCAGCTGACATAGGAATCTAGTTTGCATGTTGAATGTAGAGGCAGATCAGGAAGAGATGAGTTGTTTTGAGGCATCTTTCATGAAGGTCCTGAGGAGATTGGCCTGTTGAAACATTCCTCCCTTACATCAGAAAACAAGCTTCTAGTGACCCGTGTTCTCTAGATTCAGGGTCACTTTCCACTGAACAGTGCCAAATGAGCACTGCCAAATTTCATCTTTCCAAACACCATTCTTCCCGTTTCCCTGCTGGCACCCTTCTTGTGGCGCAGTCTAAAGGATAGGTATGATACAAGCTCATCCAGGACTCTTAACAGAATACCCTGCCTTCTATTTTCCCTACCCTCGGGCATAGGCCAAACTTAATTAGATGGATGGTCTCGCTGCAGCGTCTTCAGATTACAGGAGGTTTCAGGAAAGAGGCTGGTTTAACTACCCAAGAAAGAATTTTGTAAATATTGTTTGATGGTTGTTCCAGTTTTGTTTTGTTTTTTTTTTTTTTTGAGATGGGGTTTCATGTAGCCCAGGCTGACCACCAACTCCTTATATAGCTGAGGATGACCTTGAACTCCTGGTCCTCTTGCCTCTACCTTTTGGATGTTTGGATTACAGGTAGGCACCACAACATATGGCTTCCTGTGGCCTTGTAGACTATACTGATGTTTGTGAGACTATGCAACAGCTGCTCTATATTTGAAGCCTGAGTGGCCGTGGACGGCAGTATCCCCTGGATGGCACAAAATGTTCACACTTAAGAGGGAGGGAGTGGCTTTTTTAAAATGTTTATATTTTTTATGTTTGTTTGTTTTTTAGAGATGGGGTCTTGCTCTGTAGTCCTGGCTGGCCTGGAACTCACTATGTAGACCAAGCTGGCCTGGAATTTACAGAGATCTGCCTGCTTCTGCCTCCCAAGTGCTAGGATTAAAGGCATATTCTATGTCCAACCTTATTTTTATTTTTTTAAACTTTCTCCAGCAGTATTTCTTTTTCTTCAGTTTTGGTCTTCTTCCTAAGGATGAAAATGCTTCTGTTTGGTATCTGGACCCTGCTGGCCTTGATTCCTTGTCCAGGTGAGGCTATTTGGAAGTTTATCCAGTATGTGCCAGGACACAAACGACTGATCATTACAGAAGGGGTTGGGGTGAGATCTAAAATCAACTAGAAGATGGGCCTCTGGCCATACCTGCAGTGGATTATGATTAGATTAATTAAAGTGGGAAGACCACCCACCATCAAGGCACCATTCCCTCGGCTAGGGTCCTGAATAAAAAGGAGAAAGTGACCTGAGCACATGCATGTATTCTCCTGATTCTGCATGTGAGGAGCTGCCTCCAGTTCCTGCCTTGACTTCCTGATGGACTTCACCCTTGAACGGAGCCAAAATAAACTGTCCCTTAAGTTTCTTTTGTCAAGGTATTTTATGACAGCAATAGGAAAAGGCTTCAAGACAGGTAGGAAGTTCAGAGCAAGGTGGCACTCATTCATCTGGGCCTTTGGAAAAGTTCCTGCTTCTTGGGTCTCTAAGACACAGAATCCTTGGGTAGATCTTGCTGGTAACTGGGACAATCCAGATTAATAGACCAGCAGAACTTCAGACCCTACCAAAGGAATGCCTTCTCTGTTTGGTTCTGCTATCCCTCCACTGCCCTGTCTTTCTTTCTTTCTTTCTTTCTTTCTTTCTTTCTTTCTTTCTTTCTTTCTTTCTTTCTTTCTTTCTTTCTTTCTTTCTTTCTTTCTTTCTCTCTCTCTCTCTCTCTCTCTCTCTCTCTCTCTCACTCATTTTTTTGTCTTTTTTTTTTGAGACAGGGTCTCCCTGTAGCCCCAACTGGCCTGAAACTCACTATGTAGACCAGGCAGCCCTCAAACTCACAAAGATTCACCTGCCTCTGCCTCCTGAGTGCTGGGACTAAAGATGTGCACCACCTCGCCAGCATCTCTCATTTATTTTTTAAAAACACTTGTCATTGTGAGCTAGCAAGATGGAGAGAACTGTCTCCTGAAAGCTGTCCTCTGACCCCCACATGCAAACACTGAAACACAGGGAGAGAGAGAGAGACAGAGACAGACAGACAGACAGACAGACAGAGAGACACACACACAGGAATAACAATAAATAGAATAATAATTGAAAAAGCTTTGTCATTGTGTTGTGTTGTGTTGTGTTGGTGTTTTATTTGGACATGGTCCATACCCCAGACTTACCTCAAACTTCCTATAGCCAGGTTGATCTAGACTTCTGATCCTCCTGCCTCCACTTCCTGAGTGCTGGGCTTACAGGCATGTGCCACTACACCAGTTTTAAGTGGTGCTGGGATCAAATTCAAGGCCTTGTACATGTTAAGCAAGCACTCTGTCAACTAAGCTACATCCACAGCTCCTCTTTTCTCCTCTCAAAAATATTTTTCTTTTTTGCTGCTCTTTCTGTCACTACAAACTACAAGAGTGCCTTAGTCGGTGTTTCTCAGGATTGAATCGAGGGCACTTGCATATGCTTGGCAAGCACTCTACCACTGAGTTAAAACCCCATCCCTATAGCAGGGTCCCAGGCCTACAGCTCATTTGTAAAGAGAGCATTCTCCCAGTAGCAAAAAAAGAACTCTAGAGTGTTGTCAGGAAGCATTGCTGCAAGAGTTCTGCATCCGCAGAGGGGAGTGGTTTTTGGTGGATGTGGTGGGTGCTGGCCATGAGATAGGTAAAGGCCAGCTACAGGGAAGCCTCTTAGGAGACTACCCCTTGCTTGCATCTGGCATGTAAAACCTACCTGATGTCTCTCTTACTGCACCTGAGAAGATTTCCATAACTGGGCTAGTTTTCTCTCACTGAGACAAAACACCCAAGAAAATCAGAAGGAAGAAAGGTTTACCTCATCACGGTTTCAGAAGATTCAGACTATGGTTGTTTGGCCACACTGTGCTTGGGCCTGTGGTGAGGCAGAACAACATGGCAGGAGTGTATGGAGTAGCAAGCTTCATGGTGGTCAGGAAGCAGAGAGGAGGTGCTGAGGTTCCCATAGCTCCTGTAAGGTTTTATCTTCAGTGATCAAACTTCCTTCCATAGGTCCTACCTGCTGAAGGTCCCACCACTTCCTAAGAGTGCTGTAGACTGGCAACAAGGTTTTAGCATATGGGCCTCTGGGGTATTTACCATTCAAACCACAATGTACACAAAATTTGCAAACATTCAAAACATCCATTGTCTTAGTGTCAAAGCAAAATGGAGTAGTCCCTGAGAAGTGGAAAATTCTATGGGAAATAAGTGGCCATGTGAGCCTCATTTAGGCCATTAGTTCTCATGGTGTGGTGCGTAGAAGGATTCCTATGAGACTTGTTCTAGTCCCTGGCATGTCTCCTGGTCCACCTTCACAAGTTGGTTATCAGAAGTTGGGATCTGCAATTTTACAAGCATTCCAAATGACTCTGGTAAAGGTAGCCCTTAACTATAATTTGAGAGAAACACTGTTGGGATTTAAGTAACAAAGACTCTATGTGAATCTTTGACATCCAATCTTGGAAAGCTGCTAAGACATCTGAAAGCTGAGGAAGAGAATGGTTTCCTGGGCATGACTTTTAGTGTCTCCATACATTCTGTGGTGAAATGATGATCTCAGAACAGAAGGTATTGGTGGAATCGGCTCTCACCTGTGGCTTAAAGGTGTTTTTTTTTTTTTTTTTTTCCCTAGTTCCCTGAACTCTTTTATTCAGCACAGGTTTCCTGTTCTGCAAACTAGAACTAGATAGAATAGACTCTGCATTCTGTCTGGATCTCATGACCCTCACCTGCGATTTTGGCCTGTGTGCTTCATTTCAGGGACCACAGAAGAGCTGTTTGAAGTTTCTGTTTGGCCAAATCAGGCCCTGGTGGAGTTTGGACAGTCCTTAACTGTCAACTGCAGCACTACCTGCCCAGACCCTGGACCCAGTGGAATTGAGACCTTCTTAAAGAAAACCCAGGTAGACAAAGGGCCTCAGTGGAAGAAGTTTCTCCTGGAGAATGTTACAGAGAACTCTGTCCTGCAGTGCTTCTGCTCTTGTGCAGGGATCCAGAAGGACACAAGACTCAATATCACCATGTACCGTGAGTAGGGTGGAGGGCTTGGAGGAAGGGAGGGGTGGAGACAGGAACATGTCTTACTTAGGGAAGAGCTAGGCAGGGATTTCTCTTAGGAAAGAGAATTAGCACTGCCAATCAAGACTTCTGTTATAGTCAGATTCTAGGGCCAGTAACATCTACTTCCCTTTCTGTGGACTTCCTTCTGAGTCTTCCAGTCCTACAGGGGGCATGCTGGAGAACATGCTCACATACAGGAAGCAGATGCTAACAAAGTATGAAATTGGTACTGACTTATTTTCTGCAAGCTGTTAGAATAAATAGGGATTGGATGAAGGGCTGTCTTTGTGAACTGGGGTAGTTAGAGAAGTCTGTGATAAAGGTGGCTCCTGAGCTGCCCTACTAAAGAGTGGGTACGCTTTGAGGTGTTGGGACAGGTAGGAGGATCTTTTGTTGGGGGGGGCATTTTGGATAAGCAAAGATAAGGCCATAAGAATGAGTAGGTACAATGAGGGGAGAATGTAGCTAGCTAAAGTGTGATTTTTGTCTTTTATGTAATGCTGAAGAGCCCCTAAGAAGCTTCTTGTGCCTCTGAGACATCTCTGGCCCCAGAGTGGCAGGAATAGTCAAAGCAAGAGGCTCCCCCTCAACTGTCACAGTTCTTGGCCATGGCTCTAGTTATCTTTGATGGGCAGACAGGCTAGAAGGCTAACTCTTCACATCTGGTACAGGTAGCAGAAAGCTTATACTGTCAGTCAGCTGGTTTAAGGGGAGCAGTCACCCTATGTAAGTTGTGTTCTCTCGGAATTCCTATTTTCCTTATGCTATTTCTTTTTGGAGATGGGTAGCCCCTCCTCAAGCCCTGCCTTTTTGTCTTAAAGAGCCACCAGAGCAGGTGATCCTGGAGCTACAGCCCGCATGGGTAGCCATGGATGAAACATTCACAGTGACGTATCATGTGCCTCATGTGGCACCCCTGCAGAGCCTCACCCTTACTCTTCTCCAGGGTGACCAAGAACTACACAGAAAGGACTTTGAGAGCTTAACTGTGGCCTCCCAAAGACCTGAGGTCACCCTCAGTGTCAGAGCCCAACGGGAAAATGACAGGTGCAATTTCTCCTGCTATGCGGAACTGGATTTGAGCTCACAAGGTGGAGGGCTCTTCCATGGCAGCTCAGCCACCGAGGTACTCCGGATCTTTGGTGAGTCAGAATCCAGGCGTGAAGTCTGTTTTACTTGTCTTGTCTTGGTCTTGGCCTTTGGGACTCTGCTTCCACAGGATTTAGGGGATGAGGGTGATTGAGCACCATTTCTAGTTCACCATTAGAGAGGAAGACCTTCAGCCCCATTCCCTTCCAGCATTGTGGGGTCCTATGTGATGCATGACTTAATGGCTTTCCTCATTTCTTTCCTTGCCCTGATTACTTGGCAGAATTCTCTCAGAGCCTCCAGATCTGGGTCTCTCCACTTCTGGAGGCTGGGGTGGCAGAGACTGTGAATTGTGAGGTGGCTAGGGTGTTTCCAGCCAAAGACATTATATTCCACCTGTTCCTGGAAGACCAGGAGCTGAGCCCCTTCTTCCCCTGGAAGGGGAATACAGCATGGGCCAGTGCCACTGTTCGGGCTATGGAGACTGGTGATCAGGAGCTGTTCTGCCTTGTGTCTCTGGGTCCAATGGAACAGAAAACAAAGAAAGCAGTGCATGTCTACAGTAAGTGACCTGACCCTTCCCTTTCTCATGTGGGTTCTCTGCTATCGAAGTTTGCACAGTGACGTGCTGTTGATTTGGCTGTAGATATTTATCCCTGCTAGCCTTTGTCAGGTACATTCTCAGCGAACTTGGCCTTTCATTTTTCTCTGATACAGGAAAGTTAGGGACCTAGATTGTGACAGTAGCTCTATCCAGCCTTTGTCCTCAGTTTCCTAAGACTAATCTTCTTACTAAGCAATTGTGGGTGCTTAAATTTCCTTCCAGGATAATCATTTGAGATGAGTAAGAAATCTGTGAAATAAGAAGACATTTGCTGTCCTTGCAGGAGAGATAGCCAGATGTAGGTATGCTGTGTTGTAAGAGAAGCCTTACAGAGGCCTTAACACTATCCAGTCTCTCCCCAGTTGTCTGTCTACCTGAGGGAGACTTCCAGCTGCAAGAGGACAGAAGTGGCTGCCAGTTTAGAAAACGTGCTCACTGTCCTTTTTCTTTCCTTTGTAGGTTTCCCTCCACCAGTTCTGGAGATAGAGGACTTGTACTCTCTGGCAGGAACAGACGTTAATGTGACCTGCTCAGGTCATGTATTAACATCACCTAGCCCTACTCTTCGCCTTCAGGGAGCCCCAAACCTCTCTGCCCCTGGGGAACCTGCCTGGCTTCTACTTACTGCCAGGGAGGAAGATGATGGCCGGAATCTCTCCTGTGGGGCCTCTTTGGAAGTACAGGGCCAGCGATTGGTCAAAACCACTGAGATCCAGCTCCATGTCTTATGTGAGTAGAGGCCTGGTTGTCCTTGTAGAAACAAGGGTTCTTAGTTTCCCTTTTCCAGATATCTTGGCCAGTAGCTCCACTATGAGCTTCGTTATCAGAGTGGCCACACTTTTTTCATTTAAAAAAAATTTGCAGGAGGAGGAGGAGGGGGAGGGGGAGGGGGAGGATATCAAAGTGCAAGGCTCAGAATGAATTCCTGGTTCTGTTGCTGTCCCCAAACGGGCCCAGCTCTTTGAGCAACGGCAGCACATACGAGGAGGGCTTTGTTTGCAACTGAGGACCACTGCAGTATCCACACAAGAGGGCCTACATGGTACCCAGTGTTTTGAGGCCCTCAGACATCCGGTGCCTAGCCTGGTGAGTGTGTTTCGTACCAAGAGAAACTCGCTTCCTATCGCTCGCCTGTGCTGTGTAGCATCCCTGTAGTGTCTAGATGGCCCATATGTATATATATATATGAATGTTTTTCATACATGTAAGTGTACCTGTATTGTACAGTGTCTGTGGAGGGCCAAAGAAGGCATCAGATCCCCTGGAACTGGAGCCACAGATGGCTGTTACCCGCCATGTGGGTGCTGGGAACTGAACCTGGGTCCTCTGAAAGAGCAGCCAATGCTCTTAACTGCTGAGTCATCTCTCCAGCCTAAGTTTTGTATTTTGGAAAGTGGAGAAATTCTTATTTCTGAGTTCACCCCATCCAACCCCTTGTTCTTTGAGAAGCTAAGATGGGAAAAGATGTCAAGGCCCCGTGACAGGATAGTGTCATTGCTTAGTATGAATCCACAAAAATGTCCTTGGCTGCATCTCAGACTCCTTACCACAGGGAGGGAGGAAAGCAGAGGTGGCTCAAAGCAGGGAGCCGGTGGTGTCCCCTTGGGAGAGAAAGCTTTTAAGTTTGGGGAGCAGCGTTCGGGTTGAAGAGGGAGAAGTGGGGCTGTGAATGGAGGTAAGGAGGGAAGAGTACATACAGCCCAGCTCCTTGGGGAACTCTTTTGCAGACAAGCCACGGCTTGAGGAATCTGGCTGCCCAGGAAACCAGACATGGGTAGAAGGGATGGAGCAAATGCTTGCCTGTGTCCCAGAGGGAAACCCTGCTCCAGCTTTAGTGTGTGTCTGGCATGGAATGATCTTTGACCTTGCTGTGCCTCGGAAGGCCACCCAGAACCACACTGGAACCTACTACTGCATAGCCACTAACAAGCTGGGCTCTGTGAGCAAAGACATCACTGTCATTGTTCAAGGTAACTGCCGCTGCAGCCTCAGGCCCAGGATAGAAAGACTCTAGGGGGTTGAATTCTCACACAAGCATGGAGGGAGGAAAGATGTTCTTGGGCTGGGGGGCATGTGACTGAGAAGTGGGCTCAATGGCCTGGGTGAGGTGATTTTCTTGTCCTCAGCCCACCAACTGATTCTGTTGTTGGTGCTTGTGCAGGACTGCATAAAGGAATCAGCTCCTCTACCATCTTCATCATTATTGCTTTCGCCCTTGGCCTGGGTGTACTCACCATAGCACTGTATTTGAACTACCAGCCCTGCAAAAGAAACAGGAGGAAATTGGCCTATAGGCAGAAAGAGAACAAAGAAGAGGAAAACCAGTTTGCTGACCATCAGGCACAAGAGCACAACTCAAATCACTGTTGACCAGAAACGACTCTTAGGTTGACTGTGACTTCTACTGCCAGCATTTCCTGGGGAGGAAAGAATGGGTCAAGGGGCAAGGAGAAGATGGAATGTAAGGTTACATTCGTGTGTTCTGCTGTCCCCACAAATAGGGCTCCCGGGCCCCCATGTGACTTGTATCCACTTCTACCTGGAAGCTTGCCTTTCTTTTTTGAGTTACTTCCGGTCTCTAGAAATTTCAGTCCAAATTCTCAACTAGTGAGAGAATGAAAAAGGAAAAAGGAAAAACAGAAGGTGCCTGTACCTCTTCAAACAAAGGCCGAAGAGACGGTCAGAAAAAACTTAGAAGTACAACTCATTTCTTATGGTTTCCTGATGATTAACTGGGAAATGATTTCTTAGTTCAGGGACAGGATGTTAACGGGGAGGTAGCAAGCAAGTAAGTAGGAATTAGAACTCTGTTCCCATGACCACACTCCTATTCCACAAGCAGGGCCTGATAACATCATGAAAGGTACTGGCTGGTTAAGCTTCACCCCAGTAGCTGTCTGAAATTCCACACAGGGCTTGCTATACAGCACAAGGTAGCCTCAAATTTATGATCCTCCTGCTTCAGCCTCTTGAGTGCTGGGATTATAGGTATATATCACCACACCCTAACTAACTTTTTGGAGTGTCTCTAAAGTAGAAGGCAAAGAATGCCCATGAAATTGGTCTCACAGGTCAAGGGCACCAAACATCTTTGAACCCCTGTTTGTAAAAGGATAAAAGTTCCATGTTTACTCTCTTTCCATAAAGGAGTACCTCTTTTCATCGTCCCTTGGGCTGGAAGTATATAACTTGGTGGCAGAGTGTATGCTTAACATGAAAATGGTTCTCTGTCCCTTCCCCAGCACCCCCAAAATCTTCTTGTAACAATATCCACCATGCGATTTTATAATTTGGTCTCCTTCACTCTTTGGAAGGAGTATGTCACTCTTGGAGAAGGCATGAGAAAACGTAAAACCAGATCTTTTGTCCCAGAGTAGTCATTAAATGTTCACTGAAATGTTGACTCTGATAAAAATAAAGTTGATTTTGTGATGTACAAATTATTCCTATATTTTCCGGTCTTTTTGAGACAGGGTCTCCCTGTAAGCCCCAGCTGTCCTGGAGCTCACTATGTAGACCAGGCTGGCCTTGAACTCACAGAGATCCACCTGCCTCTGCCTCCCGAGTGCTGGGATTAAAGGCGTGAGCCACCACGCCCGACCTATTCCTATTTTTTTTTAATTTATTTATTTAATTTATATGCGTGTATTGCCTGCATGTAGGTAAGCGCACCCATGTCATGCAATGCCCGAGGAGTTCAGAAGAGGCTGTCGGATCCCCTGAGACTGGAGTTATGGACAGTTGTTAGCTGCCATGTGGGTGCTGGGATTCGAACTCAGGTCTTCTGCTAGAACAACCAGTGTTCTTAATCACTGAGCCATCTCTCCAGCACCTTATTCCTATTTTGTATCATAATGGAAAGCTTTTATTAAGCCAAATAGTTGCATTTGAGAACTTTGAGTATAATTTCTGGGAAAGAATTCCAAGTTGGTAACAAATAACCAGCCCAGGGTAAGTGATGCATTAGCTCCAGTCAGCAGCCTTTTATCCACTGAGACTTTGTATCTAGAAGTCCAGTGTCCCACATTGTAGCCACTACCTAGAGGGGATGCAGCACCAGACACCACGATCTCCCATTCTTCCTGGGTCACCTAAGTGCACGCGCGCATGTGTGTGTGTGTGTGTGTGTGTCTAGAAATTTGGTAAAAAATAATTATTTTCACCACATACAAGGCAACAGAGGTAACGGTGGCAAACAAAATGCTGTCCCTGCCTTCTACAAGTTTACAACCTGTTAGTGAATTTGTTAACTTTCGGTTATCAAGACCAGTATTAATCCATAAGAAGGATTTTGCTAGGTGTGGTTGCGTGCACCTTTAATTCCACCCCTCAGGAGGCAGAGGCAGGCAGATCCCTGTAGGATCGAGGCCAGTTGGTTCACATAGTGACTTCCAGGCTGGAACTAGGGAGGCCCTATCAAAAAAGAAAAAAAAAGGATTTGGACTACAGTTTCTGAGATTTCAGTCTATGGTCGCGTGGTCCATGGCAATGCAGTGCATCACGGTGGAAGCACATAGTAGAGGCAGCTTTCCAGCTCATGGAAGCAAGAAACAAAAAGAAGCAAGAAAGGGCCAGTATCTCAGGAGCCCCTTCAAGAAACACCCCTTAACGACCTTTCACCAGGCACCATGATCTCCCAACAGCACCACGGGCTGGGAGACCCTTTAAGACATGGGCCTTTGGGAGACCCTTATTCAAACCAAAGGTACATTAACTTCAATGGTCAGAAAATTGTAGTTAAGAGAAAGTCTAGGCTGGGTGTGGTGGTGCACACCTTTAATCCCAGCACTCAGGAGGCAGAGGCAGGCGGATCTCTGTGAGTTGTTGAGGCCAGCCTGGACTACATAGCAAGTTCCAGGTCAGCTAGGTCTTTATAGTGAGACCCTGTCTCAAACAAAGCACATTGAACATCCTAATCCAGGAACCTCCGTCCATTTCAGTGTCTGCATCGGCCACATCTGCAAAAGCCACCCAGTAGCCCCAGAGCCCTGAGGTGTATCCAAAAAGGAAGTACAAAGTAGGTACTGGTTTCCTAGTTCACCTAGGAGAGTTGTAGGTTTAGCCTGCCCTGTCTTCTCACTGCCACAAGGTGCCACTGTTGACAGATGATTCTGCTCAGTCCCCCCAAACCAAATGGTTCTGCAGATCAAGGTCTATGAGTTGGCTGCCTGGATCTCTGAGGGAGGAGGATCTGGTTCCTCTGGGCTCAGTCCTAGTGCTACCGGTGACTGACTCCTTGACTGGCTTTTCAGGCTTCCAGTTCTCATAGGTCAGTACTCAGGGTCTCGTTCATGAAAATGCTCTACCATTGAACCCCTGGATGAGCCATTTCTCAGCTCTTCAGATTTGGACTAGGCATTTCCCCTTGTAGCTTTGAAACCTCTGTACCGGTTCCTTCCCAGGGATCTATAGAAGCAAAGGTCAGGTGGCCCCTCCTTGCTAATTCCTGTGTATGTGTGTGTTGTGTGTTGTATGTATTGTATGCACATGAGTACAGTGTACACATGCAGGGCCAGAACAGGATGCTGGGTGAGTTCCTCTCTAGCTCTCTGCCTTATTGTGTTGAGACAGGGTTGCTCATCGAACTGAAAGCTGGTCAGGGAGCTCTCAGCATCCTTCTGTTTTCTGCTCTCCAATTCTGGAGTTACAGACACAGCCTTGCCTAGCTTGAGACGTGGGTGATAGGGATTTGGACTCAGGTCCTCATGCTTGCAGAGCAATCACTGTTACCCACTGAGCCTTCTGCCCAGCCCCTCATTGCTAATTCTTGAAGCACAGAAAATCTCATTTCATCACTTTCCCAGCAGAATAGAACGTCATTGTCTCAAGGAGGATCTACATCCTAAAAGATTTTGGTCATATTCTTTCTCCAAACTCACAGAGATCCACGTGCCTCCAGGAGTAAAGGCATGTACCACCATGCCCAAATTTGATCTGTTAATCAGTATGCAAACCACTCTGTTCTGGAGAAGCCACTCTGGACTCTGTCTACCTGAAGCTGTGTAACAGCCACAACAATCGGGGTGGATGGAACCCCAAAGGAAAGGCAAAATTTCAATTTACCTCTGAAGTTTAGTTTGTTGTTGTTGTTTTAGTTTTTTGTTTTTTGTTTTTTTTTGTTTTTTTGTTTTTTTTTTTTTTGAGACAGAGTCTTACTATGTAACCCAGGTTGACCCTGAACTCTGAATTCAAAATCCACCAGCCTTTGCCTCTCAAGTGCTGGGAGCCCTCATGCTCAGCCTTTTATCCTATAATTGTAGACTAAGAGGATAACTACTGGTTCACAAGTTTTTGCCAATAACCAAAAAAAGTTTCATCCCTTTTGGAGAGCAGCACTTCCTGTCCCATCCTGGGGCAAGCCTATACTTTGAAAATCCAAAAGAGACTGTTGTTAGTGATACTGACACCATCCTATCAAGACAAAAGACAGGAGAAAATGCCAGAAGAAATCTGTTCTTTGGTGGGCTCCCAGGTTCTGGATTAGGGGATCCCTGTAAAGGTTACACGTGCCCCGGTTAGCTTTAACTGTCAACTTGACACACAGCCTAAATTCACCTGAGAAGGGAGTCTCAATTGAGAAACTCCCAGATCAGACTGACCTATGGGCATATCTGTGAAGGACTGTCTAATTTGTTAATTGATGTAGGAGGACCCAGTCTACTGTGGGCAGCACCATTCCCTGGGCTGTATAAGAAAGCTAACTAAACAGGAACCTGAAATCAAGCCAGCAAGCAGTGTTCCTCTGTGGTTTCTGCTTCAAGTTCCTACCCTGACGTCCTTCAGTAATGGACTATAACTCGCCTGTAAACAGAAATAAACCTCCCCTAAATTACTTATTTTTTAATTTTTTTTTCTTATGTGTATGAGTATATTGTCTGCATGCATGTAAGTGTACCTGTGATGTGCAATGCCAGCAGAGGTCAGAAGAGGGTGCCAGATCCCCTGGAACTGGGGTCAGTGCTCTTAACTGCTGAGCCATCTCTCTAGCCCCTCAACCTTTTAAGTGCTGGGATTAGAAGCATGCAGCACTACTAGGCTCAATAATTTTAAACAGCATTTTCTAATGAAAAATTTTCCTCGGGTAAGATGGCTGTGGCTCACAGTAGGAAGATGGTGTCAGATCCCCCCTGGAGCTGGAGTTACAGGCAGCTGTGAGTTACGCAAAGTGGGTGCTGGGAACCAAACTTGGGTCCTCTGGAAGAGTAGCAAGTGCTCTTAACCACTGAGCCATCTCTCCAGCCCTGTTTTGTTTTTTGTCTTTTTGAGGCAGACAGCTGACCTGGAACTCAGTATGTAGACCAGGCTGGCCTCAATCTCTCAGAGACAGGTCTGCCTCTGCCTCTGGAGTGCGGGGATTAAAGGCGTGTGCCATCACGCCCAGCAGTCTGGCCCTGTTTTTATGGTGCACCTGACCAATCTGCTCCTGTGGATAAGACCGGATGTGTCTGCCAGGCAGGCGTAGTGGTGCATGCGTTTAGTCCCAGCACTCGGGAGGCAGAGGCAGGCAGATCTCTGTGAGTTCGAGGCCAGCCTGGTCTACATAGTGAGTTCCAGGACAGCTGGGGCTACAGGGATAAATAAATAAATAAATAAATAAATAAATAAATAAATAAATAAATTAAATTTCACATCAATGTCTGAAAGTTCCAGAATTAAAGTGTCTTGGAGACTTTTTCCTCCAGTAGTGAATGGTGACAAGGCTGGATCAGCCCAAGTTTAGTTGGGCCCTCAGTTCTTCAGGACACACAGACTCCTCTCTCACAAGGAAACTGAGTGTCAATTGTGATTTATTCCCACTTAGTGAGCCCTCATTACTTCTGTAGTTGTCTACTTGGTACCTCTGTGTGTGTGTGTGTGTGTGTGTGTGTGTGTGTGTGTGTCTGTTTGTGCAGGTGCACATGTATGTGTGTGGAAGCCAGAGGACAACTTCAGGTGTCATCCTTCAGGCACTGTCCACCTTATTTTTTGAGACAGGGTCTCTCATTGGCCTGGAATTCACAAGGTAGGGTGGGTTGGCTGGCCAGCAAGCCCCAGGGGTCTGCCCATCTTTGCCTCCCCAGTGCTAGGATTACAACTGCATGCTACCATGCCAGGTTTTTTCTGTGGATTCTGGAAGTTGAACTGGGGTCCTCATGCTTGCATGGCAAGCACTTTACTGACTGTGCCATCTCCCTCGTCCCTACCTGGTACCCATTAGCATTCATTTTCGCAGTCTTTTACTTCCCTTGCCTGATGGCTCTGTTCATTCCAAACTCTTTTTTTTAATGTGTAGAGTATTTTACCTGCATGTGTATATATATTATCAGCGTGCCTCATTTTTCTTTTCTTTTTTTTTGAGACAAGCTCCCAAGATAGCCCAAAACTCACTATGTAGAGCAGGCTGGCTTCAAACTCTCAACAATCTCCTGCCTCAGCTTTCAAGTGCTGGGATTGTAGGTGTGTGCCACCATGCCTGGCTTTTAAACACATTTTAAAACTACCTCTCTTTTCCAAGATTAGTTGAATCAAATAAAAATCCATCTTAAAAATCTATGCACAAAAGTAATTCTATGATTTCACTCGCTTTCTCATTGGAGACATTTCCCTTCTGTACTTAATAGCCTGCCTCATTTTCCTTTCTTCTTAATCTCAGAGAGAGGGCTTATTCAGGGAGAGAGAAATGTTTCCAAGTACTTTATGGGAGTGACCTATGGCCTTGTTGACCTGTGATTGACTGACCAGAGGGTGGGAGAGGATTCTTTGCGTAATGGAGAAGCCATGTGTTGGTTTTATTCTGATCCAGGAAAAGCCAGGACTGCTTTTTCACTGCCTACAGGATCCCTACAGGTTGACTTCTGGGGCTCCTTGCCCCACACTGCCCCGATCCAGGCCATAATAGAAAGACATCTGGTCAACCCATATGATGCATCTTAATTTTATTAGGACAAGGATGCTTGCACGGGAGTGGCATTTGCCACAGGGAGGTGCTGGGGGAGTATGGAGATACGGTACTGCGTGGCTAGAAGGCACAGCTGCTTTCCACAAAGCGGCGACACTTCATGACCCGCAGGTAGGTCTCAGCCTTGTGCAGGTCCTTCTTGAAGCAGGAGAGCAGCCCATAGTTCTTGAGCAGTGCGTCATCGCTGCGCATGTTGGTGTCAAACTTGTCATAGGTTTGCTTGAGGAGTTGCCCAGCTCGGAGACTGCCATCTTCCAGCTCCTGCAGTGGAAGGAGGAGCAGGAGAAGCAGAGGCGTTTTAGGATTTCTGCCCTCCCTCTCCTCCAGGACTTAGAGAAAGGCTGGAGCTTCAAAAGGGGAAATAAATAAGATGACTTGTCATGGGTCAAGGCCTGACTAGTACAAGAAACAGCAGTCATCCACCCCTCACACCAGCTCCCAGCTAGGATCCAGACAGAGGCAAAGGGCAGTATGGCCCCGGGACTGGGGACACCATGCCATGCTCACCCGCATCAAAGCCTGGATCCCCTCTTCCAGGTCCTTCAGTTTCTCAAAGACGCGGTCCGAGGTGCCGAATACCAGGCTGTTGGTGAAGACCCTGCTGAGGAACTGCACGGGCCCCAGCCACGACTGGATGAGCAGGAGAGAGAAGCGGAGCAGCTCCATGTCCTGTGAGGAAGGGTTAAGTAAGTGTGTTGCCTGCTGAGCTCTGCCTGGGGAGAAGCTGGCTCCTGGCCTGGGGTACAGTTGGAGCTTTATGGAGGGAAAAAAGATGTATGTGGACAAAGCCTCGGAGTCCACTCACGGATCTCTGCTGGGCCTCCTCCTTGCCGGTGGGGGCCGGGATGGTCTCTGAGAAGCAGAAGGCAGCCTGGGTGTTCTGGATGGAATATCGCTGTCCCTCGGGGATGTAGGCACGTTCCTAGAGGAGCACAGTTGTTGAGATCTGAGACTGTCATCACTACCTGGTTGAAGATTCCCTTGATTTCTGCTCACCTGACAGCATTTACTTGTTTAAGACACCCCTGGTCCCCTGAGTTTCCTCCCATGACGTCTCAGGGGGGAATCTGCCCCTTCCTCTCACCACAGCCAGATACCCAACTTTGGGGAGCTTACAAACTCTTTGTAGGTATCAGCAGCCAGTTGATGCAGGTGCTGGGCTCGGAGCACAGCGTTGGCAAACAGATTGGACAAGGGCATGGCAGGGAAGGCACCAGCCTCCTGAGGCCAGGGCAGGCAGAGCAGGGTGAAGGTCAGGAGCCAGGAGGTCTGAGAGCCTAGAGAAAGACAGGGAGGCAGGGGAAGCCTGAGAGCAGTGGTCAGTCTCTCCCAATCCCCATAGGAACTGAGAATGTTCTCAACATGGGCAAAGGTTGGGCTTAGATGGCTGTATTCATATCAGAAACCTCAAACCCATCTTCAACTCGTACATCTCCTCTCGGTCCACATCACACCCAAAGAGATTTTAGGGATGCTCACCTGTAGCCATTGTCATGGAATGAGCTGTCCACAGGATCCTGAGCAGTTTGGGGATCTGGGTCCTAGGATCCTGGAGTTGGTCCTTTGTGGGCCCTTTTTATACCCTGGCTGGTTCTCCCCCTGCCTATTTTCCCCATACATGTATTCATGGGACCACCGACAGCTTGTGCTGATGGATAATTTAGAAGCTCCTCCCACTCACCGTGTTCCCACTCCTCTCCTGCGGTCATGTCCCCTGATCTTATCTTTCCATCACCACCTTTGCCAGGTTTGTGAGCATTGCATACACAAGACCTCAACTACACAGACCACCCAGTGTGTCCTCTTTTTAAAAGAGAGCAGGTCGAAGAAAGTAGCCTGAGTCCAGGGGTGCTCTGACAGGATGTTGGAGGGTTGTTTTCAACAGGACCTTGTCAAAGGGAAACACCATGGCTATTTATTTCATTTAAGATTACATTTATTTATTTATTATTTACATATTTATTTATGATGTACATGTGGAGTTTAGAGGACAACTTGCAGGAGTTCGTTCTCATCTTCCATCATGTGGGTCCCAGGTCATCAGGCTTGGCCAGATGCTTTTTTAACCTGCTGAGCCATTTTGCTGATCTTAATCTGTCCCTTTGTTCCTCCATGCATAGTTCCCTCAACTGAGCACAGAAAGTGCATGTTCTAGACTGGAGAGATGCCTCAGCAGTTAGGAGCCCTTCCTGCTCTTCCAGCAGACCTAAGTTCTGTTCCTAGCACCCACATCAGGTGGCTCATAACTAGTTGCCTGCACCCGCAGCTTCAGAGGATCCAATGCCCTCTTCTGGCCTACACACACACACACATACATACACACACACTATTAAATAATAAATAAATAAACAAATAAATAAATCTTTTGTTAAAAGAAAATACATGTGCTGGTAAAAGGGGAGCAGGTAGACCCTTTCCTCCATCATTTCACCTGGGCCTGCTGAGGGCTGCTAGACGTAATGCTAACACTGACCACTAGAGGGCACCTACCTTATACATTACCCTCCCCCAAGCCCTAGGTTGCCCCCTAGGTCTGTGGAGCAAAGGACCCAAAGTTGAGGTATTGTCCCTGCTCCACAGAGTTGCAAACCAAGAAGCAAAAGTCCTGGAAGCAGGCCTGGACCGTAAATAAATCCTCCTATGGCCCTGAAAGCTCAGGGAGTCTAAGTTTAGAAAGCTCTTCAGGGTTTTGAGTCTTCTCCCAACAGTCCAACGCAGGGTACTGCACTCTAGAAGATACCTATCCACTTACTATAGCCGCCTCCTCCTCTTTTTAGTATCTGTCAAGAGCTTATCAGTTGGCAAAGAGCATGCCTATGAATGATCACATTTCATCCCACAACTGTCTTGTGAATGAGGTGTTATTCTTGAGAGGAAGAGACTGAGGCTCTGAGAGAACAACATCCATGTAAAAGCCAAGCCTAGAAGCATGTACCTATAATCCCAGTGCTAGAAAAGTTTGCACCCCCACAACCCATGCACACACAGACACACACATATGTGCATGTACATAATACATGAAGAACACCCCCTTTATAACTTTGAGTCCATGAATGTCTGTTTGGAAGCTCTTTGTCTTTCCAGACTTGACTGTCTCTGCTGTGACTACCCCTCTCTGTGCTTTGAGAACCCTTCTTAGGTTCAAGTTTATCGGTGGGGGGAGTTTCATTTTCCTCATCTTGGTTGTAGGGATGACCTCAGTGGGATTACAGGTAGCTTTGTGCACTCCTTCCTGGTGATTTGAAGCCCATACTTCTCACCTTTCACTCTGTCTTTCTCTCCTGAAGGTCAGAGTTGGTTACTACGATCAGGGCGTATTTTATTCCTCTTATTTATTTTATTTATTTGATTGTCTTTTGGCCTTTTGGGGTTTTTTTTGTTTGTTTGTTTGTTTGGAATTTTATGAGACAGGGTCTCGCTGTAGCCCCAGCAGGCCTGGAACTCACTATGAAGACCTGGCTGGCCTCTATCTCACAGAGATCCACCTGCCTCTGCCTCCCAAGTTCTGGGAATCTTCCAACACTCTTTTTATTTTTTATTTTTATTTTTAATATGGAACACTTCACTCTTATTTTATTTTATTTTATTTTTTTGGTCTTTTTGAGACAGGGTCTCCCTGTAGCCTCAGCTGTCCTGGAACTCACTATGTAGACCAGGCTGGCCTTGAACTCACAGAGATCCCACTTGCCTCTGCCTCCTGAGTGCTTGGATTAAAGGCATGCGCCACCACGCCCGGCCACTCTTTTATTTTTAAATATGGAATGCTTCTCAAATTTGCGTGTCATCCTTGCACAAGAGCCACGCTAATCTTCTCTGTATTGTTCCAGTTTTAGTGTATGTACTGCCGAAGCGAGCACAGCTTCCATCACTCTTTACATGAGGCTATCTATCTATCTATCTATCTATCTATCTATCTATCTATCTATCATCTATCTATCATCATTGCTCAGGCCAGTCTGGAACTCTCTGTGTAGCCCAGGCTGCCCTCAAACTCATGATTGTCTTGCTTCAGCTTCCTGAGAACCAGTATTTGTGCATGTGCACCCTTCTTCCCCCAACTAGTACATAAGTCTTCTTTAAAAAACATTTATTTATTATTTTATTTTATGTGTATGAGCGTATTGTCTGCATGGAGGTAGGAGCACCCGTGTTGTGCAGTGCCTGAGGAGGTCAGAAGAGGGCATTGGATCCCCTGGAACGGGAGTTATAGATGATTGTTAGCCACCATATAGGTGCTAGGAATCGAACCTGGGTCCTCTACAGGAGCACCCAGTGTTCTTAATCGCTGAGCCATCTCTTGAGCTCCCTAGTAAATGAGTCTTAGCACTATTTGTCACCCACCCTATTGGGTCACAGTGTTTAAAGAATACTGCATGGGGATTCCCAAGGGCCTTTCCAGGGGAGGTTTGTTTCTGAAGACCCACCGTGTGCCAGGAACTGTACTGGACAACAGGGCACATGACTCTCATTCCAGAGTTGAGGACACTGATGCTCAGAAATAAAGCAGGTTGCCTGGAGTCTCCCAGTTCCTAAGTGATGGCTCCAGTCTCTCTCCCACCCACCTCCATGTCAAGGCCTTTAGAAGCCTCATCTAATAAAGAATGGCACTGCTTGGCATGGGCAGGACTTTCCTCAATGAACAGCTGTCAGGGTAAGAACAAGCCCCCACACAGATGTTCATTGAAGGTGGGAGGAATTGAACACAAGGAACATCAGCCCCAGAATTCACTGTCTACAGGCACTAAGAAAAGTGGCAGAAAAAACAACCCAGCGTGGCCCAATTTAGTGAACCAAATCACATCACCCTTCATATTTGTATTGCACGTTTCAGTGTGCTTCGTGGTTTCACTTCCTGTATCCTGTTGGACTCTTGAGTTCACTCCACGATTCAGCAGAAGGCTCAGCATAGAGGGAGGGTCTTAGAGACTGGGGCGATGACAGGGCAGGCAGTCCTACATATCAGTGGAGTATTGTTTACACTGGGGGATGATCTCTGCATAGTCACAAAGTACATGACAACATGCCTAGCTGGACTTAGTAAGTAGTCTTCATTTTGGAGATTATTCCCCAGGGAGAGAGCCCTATTGGAAAAGAAGTACTGGGCTGGGGAGATAACCTCGGCTGGTAAAGGACCTGAATTTGATTCCCAGAACCTATGTTAAAAAAATAGTGGGCCCGGTGTGGTAGTGCACACCTTTAATCCCAGCACTCGGGAGTCCGAGGCAAGCAGATCTCTGTGAGTTCAAGGCTAGCCTGGTCTACATAGTGAGTTCCATGCCAGGATACCCTGTCTCAAAAAGACCAGATATATATGGCATGGTGGAATACCCTTGTAATCATGGTGCTAGGAAGACAGAAACAGGAGGATTCCTTGGGTTACCTAGCCAGCCAGCCTAGCATACTTGGTGAGTTTCAGGCCAGTGAGAAACCATGTTGGAAAAAAAAGGTGGATGGCACCTGAGGAATGATATCACCCAAGGTTGTTCTCTGGCTTCTACATGCATGGACACACATTTACATGTATACCCATACGCACATGCACACCCATGCCCACACAAACATACACAAAAAGAAAAAGAAATCTCATGTACTGAGGTATGCTCTAACAGTTGTAGGAAGTCTGGGGAGTTTTTCCTGAGGAGGGCCCTCAGGGGACAGGAACTGCTCCCTCCTGTCACCTTGTCCTATGGCTACTTGGGGGCATCTTATTTCCCTTAGCTCACGACAGACTCTTTGAGGTGGGATTCCTGCCTTTCTTCTATTCATCCCACCCCATCTCACCCCATTTCTCTCTGAGACAGAGTCTCATTATGTATCCCAGGCTGGACCCAAATTCTCTGTCCCTCTGCCTCAGCCTCTGAGTGCTGGGACCACAAGTGTGTATCATTATTCTCTTACTCGGGCATTGAGCAAGTACTGGGGATCCATACCTCATGCCAGACATGTGCCAGGTGGGTGTACATACTAGATGAACAAAAGACATGATCCTTTCTCTTTTGGAGCTACTGGGGAAAAAATAGCAGACAAATAAATATATATTGGTACAATGTAGACAGAAGAAATTTCAAATTAGTAAAACTACCATGAAAGACGTAGCTCAGATATGGAGGCAAGAAATCAAGCAAGGGGACTGAGGGAGCAGGCAGCTGGTGCAGCGTGGGCCTGGGAATCCCACAGCACCTGCTCACAGACAGAAATGTATGGGAGGCCAGAAGAAGCAAGAGAGTGATGTGGAGATCCAGCCAGTTGTGAGTGGCAAGGAGACATGTCTGTCTCCACGTCCCCTATCAGTACAGCCCTTTTATTTTCTGTTACTGTTTTTTTGAGACAGGGTCTTACTCTGTGGGTGTGGCAGGACTTGAACTTGTAATCTTCCTGTCTCTGTCTTCCAATTGCTGGGATTACAGATTCGAGCCACCATGCCCAAACTTACAATTATTTTTAAAGAACAAAGATGGGAATTTGAATACATAGCAATACACACGTGAAAAAATTAATTGAAAAAGTAGACAAGGCTGTACGTATGTGTTGATTTCAGCATTTCAAATAGACTTACAGCAAATAGAATCTGGACCCTAGTGCTGTCTTGCTTCCCCATCCTGCCACATGAACAGAGCTGGGTTAAGTAAGTTCAAGGGATAGATGTCTTTTCTTTTCTAAGATGTTTTTATTTTAGTTTATTTCTTTAGTATTTTGGTTTTTGGAGAAGGGTTTTACTCTATAGCCCAGGCTGGCCTCGAACTCATTATGTAGCCCAGGCAAGCTTCAAACTCACATCAATCTTCCTGCCTGAGTTTCCAAAGTGTGAAAATTCAAGTGTGAGTCACCATACCAAGGGGTAAGATGTATTTTCAAAAAATTGTACTAAGCTGGGCGTGGTGGCACACGCCTTTAATCCCAGCACTCGGGAAGCAGAGGCAGGTGGATCTCTGTGAGTTCCAGGCCAGCTGGGGCTACAGGGAGACCCTGTCTCAAAAAGACCAAAAAAAAAAACAAAAAAAAAAAACTAGGGCTGGGCACAGTGGTGCACACCTTTAACCCCAGCACTTGGGAGGCAGAGGCAGGTAGATCTCTGTGAGTTCAAGGCCACCCTGGTCTACATAGTGAGCCCTAGGCCAGCTGGGGCTACAGGGAAACGCTGTCTCAAAATAAATAAATAAATAAATAAAAATTGTACTAGGATCAGTCCAAATGTTTTTAAACAAGCTGCTTTCTGATTGAACTCAGAATTTGCTGCCTGTTAATTTTTGTTTTTGGTAGATGCCTGTATTTCCAAGTGAAGCCTTCTGGACTGGGGAGGACAGACTTTCATCTCAAGTTGAAAATTTGGTGCTTACAGTACTAGAAGATGTCATAGCACAGGCAGCTTGGAGACAAGGAGCACATCCAGAATTTTCCAAGTTCTGAAGCACACTAAAAGGAGCAGACAAAATCTTGGAAATCCCAAACACGGTGTTCCTAGGTGGCTTCTGAGGCCCCATACAGATGGCCCAGCCAGACTAGACAGTGCCTAAGGATGAGAACTACTTGCTGTTACTACCCAAACAGCAGTGGCTTTTTGTGTTTTGTTTTTCTCTCTCACCTCTGGTTCTGCTGGAAAAATACCCAAAGCTGTGGGTCAGATTGTCCCAGCCCAGGCAGCACCTGCAGTGAGAGGGCCGGAAGTCAAGCTAGAGCAGAGGAGGAACCAGCCTGTGCTTAAACCAGAGTCCCGAGGGACCTGGCTGGATTCCCCCAATGAGCAGTGGGGCATGTGCCCACCAAGGACCTCTTAGATACGCTGGGTAGAGGGGAGGCTGGTCTAGGCCCTGTTAACAAGGATAGCGTCCAGAGTACCTCAGACCTTATCATGAATGGGAAGAGCAAATATCTTCAAAGTATACTCTTTAAAGACTGCTAACAGGGTCCCAGAGCTCCTTTCCTCTAGTCTTTTTCTTGTCCTTCTGTTCAGTTTTATTGCTGCAACACCCCTTGAAGAGGTAACTGTAATGCAGCGGGCAGAATGCTGCGTTTGGATCAGGCCTGGTTGCTAACCTTTTGCTAACCTGCTGGGTTAATTTCCTTGTTTGTGTGATGGAAATAAGACTACCCCTTTCCAAGGTTATACTGGGGCATAAGCAAAATAACATAGATGAATATGGGATGCTCAATAAACTTTTATGATCATTTAAGAGGTGTTGAATACATATTAATGTGACCAGTAAAAGTTTTCGGGTCATGCTTTGTTACTAAATTGTTGAGGTGGTTACACAAACCTAGACATATTTTAGAATTCATAGACTGTACAAACATCCCATGTTTACACATAGAAAAGTAAACAAACTTATTTTTATTATGTAGCATTGAAAAAACAAAATGAAGCTGGGCTTGGTGGCACATGCCTTTAATCCCAGCACTCAGGAGGCAGAGGCAGGTGAATCTCTGTGAGATCCAGGACAGCCTGGTCTACATAGTGAGTTCCAGGTCAGCTGGGGAGACCCTGTCTCAAAAAGGCAAAAAAACCCCACAAAACCCAACAAAAAAAAAACTAAACAAACAAATTTAAAAAACCCAAAAATGAAAACAGGCTGGGGAGACACCTCAGTGAGGAAAGTTTGTTTTATATACATGAAGATTTGAATCCAATCCCCAGCACCCATGCACAAAATCTGGGCATGGTAGCACATGCTTGTAATCCCAGTGCTGGGGATGCAGAGATAGGCAGATCCCTGGGGCTCGCTGGCCAGCCAAGTTAGCCAAATCTGCAAGCTCCAGGTCAGTTAGAGGCTCAGACTCAAAAACCAAGGTGGGTAGCAACTGAGAACCGACACTGGAGGTTGACCTCTGGTCCCTACAAGCATGAGTGCATATGTACACACACACACACACACACACACACACACACACAACCCAAAGAAAACACCCAACATCTGGCTCAGCTCCTTTCCTTCAAATTCCTTCAGACAGGTTTAATATGTTGCCAAAGTTGGCCTTCAACTTAAGATTCTTCAGTCTCCTACATAGCTGGGGTTGACAGATGTGTGTCATCCTACCTGGCTCCAGATAGGATTTATGCTTCCCATTTTACAGATAAAGTAACTGAGACCTGAGATGTTCATTGTCTCCATCATTATCACTCAACTAAATTTTCACTGCTGAAGGCAGTTCTAGAGATCATGGACCCATAAGACAGAGTGATGCCCTGAGAGCTCCTGAAACAGAAAAACTGCCCAGGGAGGGCTCCTCCACTACAACCCAGGAAGTCATTGCCCTGTGGGGGTGTCTGCTGGAGGGGTGGCCTTCTGTCCAGATGAATCTCTGTCAACAAACACTTTAAAGGTCTCAGGGAACCCCAGTTACTGAAGAATGTTAGTCTTTTGTTTAAAGCCAAGGTCTCCCTTGAACCAGAGCAGCCCAGAGCAGGGGGAGACCCTGTTTAGAAGTGAAGAAGACTCCCTCACCCAGGCTGGCTGCCCTGGTCCCTGGTGGAGGTAGAGGACAGAATTAGCGCCAGTATGCAAAACAGCAGGAAAGCAAGGGCTCCAGCTCAGTGGAGGTAGGCAGAACTGGCCAAAACAAGTCAGTTCCCCCTGGCAGCCCAGACCAAGGAGGGAGCAGCCAAACCCCACTCAACAAGCTTGGCCCAGGGAAGACTCATTGAGTGACAGAAACATTGACCTGAAACCCTAGGTGTGCATGCCTTACCTACCTACCTCACCCAGAACTCCAGTGGGATCTGATTGTCTCAGTCACTCCCATATACTGGTTAGCCCTGGTTCTCCAGGTAAACTGGCCACGCCCCAGGGTAGGGATTCATCTGCCTGAATCCAGAGCAGGAATGGTTGAGATGTGTTAGGGGGTTCCCCCAAGATCAGCAGGAAGATCAGCACAGCCTGGCTCAGGAAGGAGAGTTGGCGAATACAGAATCATTGTCTTTGGCCTCCCAGCTGTTTAAGTGGCTCCTAGTTACTCACAGAGTTGGTGGGTTGGGATCTAATTTATAAGGCCTTAGAGGCTATTGGGTGTGTGCTGTGTGTGTGTGGGGCTCTCTAATGTGATTCTGGGATCACCCTGAGCAAAAGCCCCCAACATTCACTGTATGAATCTCCTTTAGGATCTCTCTTGATGAATTTAAAAGCAAAAATGGAGCCAGGTGCAGTGTCACACCTCTTTAATCCCAGCATGTGGGAAGCAGAGGCAGGAGGATCTCTGTGTAGCTGAGCTACAGGAAGACCCTTTCGCAAAAACAAACAAAAAAAGCAAAAGTGCCAGGCTTGCTAGGGGATTAAGTAGGAGAAAGGTGTTGCAGAGGCAGGAAAGCCCTCCCCTCAGGGAGCCTTTTGAGTGGCCTTTTGAGTGGCCCAGGCAGTGGCAGCTGAGCCTGGACTGTATAAGCTAGTCTGAGTAATTTGGACAGTGCCTAGGGTGCTTCAGGAAGGCTTGGTGTAGGAGAAGGGCCTTGAAGGACCAGAGGTTTAGGAGAGATGTGGGAGGGTAAGGTCCTTCAGGGCTAAAACTTTGGTTCTATAGAGTAGCTGGGACTAAACTGCTACTGGTTAGTTTAATAAAGTGTGCGATAAGGGTACCCCTGTTCAGGAGAAGAACTGATTGGATCCCCCTTTTCTCCAGTTACTTTAGAGTAGGGGAGATGAGGATGTGATTGCAGATCCCAATTGGGTCTTCAGAGCGAAGGATGACCAGGACAGTCACTCCCTCTCACAGCCTTTCAAGCCTGCAAGTACCACATACAGATGCCACACTTGCTGACAGAGCCACACCTACCCACTCAGACCATAGAGACAGATGTCATGAATGCCTCTGGTCATGTCAGACACATTGTTTATTCCTTGGGAGAATAGGCTGCAGGGTAGGTGATTCCTGTGATGGGAGAGAGGCGTGACATTCTTGCTGGCCCTTCTGGGACCATGGCCCTTCCTGGGCACCACAGGAAGCCAACCTGCTCTGAGTCCATGTTCAGGTTCTGACAAGTCTCTGCTTTCCTGTCCCAAACTTGGGGACAGATCCTGCATGGCACGCAAACAAGCCTGGGTCCAGTCCATCCCCAGAGAACTCTCCACGCCATGTCACCACCCTATTGTCCTTCTACCCCAGCAAGAGCTGGGAACCAGGGGCTGGAGAGGTGACTCTGGTGATCCAGCTTCAGAGGCTGGCTGGGGAATCCAAGAAGAAAGGGATGGGCCATAAACCAGGCGGCTTGGAAACACTGAGGCCCCTGAGTTGGGCAGGTTGAGGGTAGTTCTCACTCCTGGCCTGGGTGTTCTCCAACAGACCATTTCACCTCCCCTGTCCGCAGCGTCACTATGTCTTCATAGGTGGCCGTCTGGTCAATGTCCAGGCCCTGGAAACATGAAATGGAGCTCAGGCTTGGGCCACACTCTTACTGTGCTTAACTCAGAGCTGCTGGGTCACCTTGTTTCTTACCTCATAAGTGTGATCTTCCTCCATGCCAGTTTTGCTGTCATCCTGCAGGAGAGTGTGGTGGGGGTGGAAGGATATAGTTCAGAGTGTTAGGGTCTCCTTTCCCTATCCCTTAAGAGGCCAAACTGGGAGGACCAGGGACATGGGCTTGAGTGGGGGAGGGGAAGAAGGGGTCTCCAAGGTTGAATGAATGAATGAGTGAGTGAGTGAGCAGCGAGCCAGTGGACAGGCCTTGGGGCTGGGCTTGCTCAAGAGAGTAGCTATAGAGGCTGGGGAGATAGAGACCCTGCCCATGTGTAGTTTGCCCTGTAGTTACTTCCCAGCCCTCCCTAGGCTCCCCAGCTCCCGTGGGCACCTTGTCCAGTAGCAGGAAGATGGGTACAACAATGAAGAGGATGATGAGGAGGGTCTGAATCATGATGATGCCATCTTTCAGTGTGTTTCGCCGCTTCAGCTGTGCCAAGGTGCTGAACCCTGGGGGAGCCAGGGTGTAAGGCTGGGGCTGAAGGCTAAATTTGACGATCCTTTGGGCACCCCTCAGAACCTACTGCCCAGTACTTTTCCTAGGGGTCCTATGGCCATGGCCACCTCCCCTGATGTGCAGGCTGGACTGGCGGAGGGTGTAGATGTTTAACTCACACATACCTAAGACTCGAAGTTCTGTGCCACAGCCCCAGGCTTCTTCGTCGGGGCTGGTGCACTCCTGCTTGCACATGTAGATGCCATTGTCTTCAAATTGGATGCCTTGGATAGTGAGGGTGTGGACAGAGCCATTCTGGGTTGGCAAGATGTGCCCCTGTTCTGGGGACAGCTCCTGGAGCTCCGCCTCGTTGTCCTGCTTTCGGAACCAAGTCACGATGCTGGAGATGACGTTGCTGTTTGTGTAGCAGTGAATTTTCACCACAGAACCCCGCTTCCTGGCTATATAACGTGGGTACTGCCAGATCTTGGAACAAGTGCTACCTGTGGGCATGAAAGCCAAGCTCAAAATCTGGCTTGGTGTCTTCCTGTCTGCCAATCTGGCCAGGAGTACCCCCTCCCCCCCATTGTGGGAAACACTTAACCAGCTTAGCCTGTCTCACCGCTCTTGCTTTTCAGCGGGTGAGACAATCAGAAGGCAGAGGTATGAGGGAGGAAACTATGTAAGAGGCCATACACCAAGCCAAGAGACTGTGCCTCTTCCTGATGAACCCTCTGTCCACTTGATTTTCCTTAAAAAGGATTCTGGAACCTTCCAATTGCTTTCCATGTCCCTTGCAACAGGCAGACCCAGGCCTACATGCAGGACAGCCTGCATGTAGCCTGGCTGTATACTTACAGCTCTCTTTGCCCTGGCCTTCTCTATCCCTGCCTGAAATTCTCACAGGCTGCCCACTGCCCCCAGTGCAATAAAAACTGAATCCTGCCAGGTGTGGTGGCACACACCTTTAATCCCAGCACTTAGGAGGCAGAGGCAGGCAGATCTCTGTGAGTTCAAGGCCAGCCTGGTCTATATAGTGAGTTCCAGGACAGCTGGGTCTCAAAAAGGCCAAAAAAAAAAAAACAAACCACCGAATCCTTAGCCTGTCACTTGAGGCCTTCCTCCCTCACCCCCTCTACCCTCCTCAGTGGACATGCTCTGCTTTGGGGGTTCACTGAGTTCTCAGCTACATAAACCCAAGCCTAAGGCCTTGTGGAACCCCTTCTAGCTGTCCTGCTCTGACTCCTGACCTTGGCTTATCTCAGCCCCTCAGTAGCTGGAACCAGAGCACAGTGGTCTGCTGATAATGACAGCTGGCCAGAGATGGGGCCTTAGTGGGAATGCTTAAGGAGGTTTGGAGTTGGGAATCTCGGATGGTGTGCCCCAGGTAAAGATACACAGACAAGAGTCAGCCCAGTGGCCGGTGTTGAACACAGACATACTTGTCCCCGAAGGGGTGGGTGAGGTGACTAACCTTGGGGATTCGGTAGCAGGTTGTTGTTTGTCATTGCTGGTACCTGCTCCCCTGTAGGGTGAAAGTGGGAGGGTTAGGTCTGGGTTCTCCACCCCCAGTTGATTGCCCCACCCCCTTCCCTTTCCACATTCCCAGAATCACTTCCTCCTTCCAAGACTGCAGTTTCAAGCCCCCATGGCCCTCCCTGTATCTCTACTAGGGAGACAGAAGTAAGATAGGGGTATCAGAAGCCCCACCTCCAGCTCCCCTTTGGCTCTTGACCCCTCTGGCTGGCTTGGAGCCACTGTTTAAATGAAACAGGAAGTCACGGCTGGGAGGGCTTTCCCACCTTACAGACGAGGAGGGGGCCATTTCTGGAACAGGCTATCTTCCAGCGTCTGGATTTTCCCAAGCCTCTTCCCATACAGTACCCTCAGAGTTTAGGGGGGGCTGCATGCTGACCCTTCTTCCTCCTGAGCCCACCTCCTCCACAGTCATAGGGGCCAACAGGATTTGTTCTTTGCACCCAGTTCCATCTGATAACCCTCCATCCATGCTGGAGAGGGACTGGGACCTCAGACCCTGAACCTATCACTAGGGCTAAGGCCCAAGGGCTGTCAGAGGGAGACAGCTGGGGGAAAGAAAGTGCAAGAGGGGGTTGAGCTAGCAGGAAACTGAGTGGAGCCAGCAGGACTGTTATCCCTCACAGACACCTTACCTGAGAGAAACAGCAGCAGCACCACTAGCCAGTGGCAGGGCATTGGAGATGGCACCAGCCTGCTCATGGTCACCACTCTGTCTCAGAGCCCAAGGCCCTGCCACTTCCAAGGTTCTTGGGAGAAAACGTGTAACTCTGTATTACTGCCTGGTCTGCACTCTGTCCCCTCCCTGCCTCTTCTCCACCAGGCCCCTTCCTGCCATGCAAATTGGGACCCAGGGGAGGCACTAACCCTCCTGGGACTCTGGGGGAGGGCAGGCCTCATCAGCTGGGCATCTAAGACTTGTTACACAGGCCCTGCCTGTGTAACACAACTTGGGGGTCCTTGGTAGAAGCCCTGAGGGGAGGTGGTTCCTGAGTCTTCGGGGGGCAGCCTGTGTTTTCCTTCCTTTCTACCCACTGAGGGTCATTTCCTGGGCCTACTAGCCTTCTATCTGTAGTTGAGCAGCTCTGTAATGGTAGGACTGAGTACATTTATTTCCATTTTTATTATTTTTTTGTCGTTTTGAGACAAGGTCTCTCTGTAGTCCCAGATGGCCTAGAACTCACTATGCAGACCAGGCTGGCCTGGAACTCACAGAGATCTGCCTGCTTCTGCCTCCCAAGTGCTGGGATCAAAGGCATGAGCCACACCAGGCCAGGACTGAGTACATTTAGTTGAACACATACCAATCCTGTGAATGAATCTGGCCTTGGCCTCTCTACCCTGGACCACCCTCACCCTGTAGGAAGAGGAGCACTGGGAAGGACAGTGCAAGGGACAGGTGTCATCATGGACCCACACCAGGCTCCTGGAGAGGCCTTAGCAGAGCTTCTTGGAGTGCAGGAAGTCATGTCAGAAGTTAATCCTGTGTGAAGGGAGCCACAGAAGTTCTTGACCAAAAGCATGCCAAGTATAGCAGCCTCATAGAAAAACCTAGGGTCTAGGCCCTTGTCAGAGGCCTCCCCGTTCCTTGTATGGGACTGGACTTGGGTACAGACCACTTAGGAAAAACCCACTACTTAACATTCAGGGTTGAGGGGGCTTCTCCAGAGAGTTTTGTGAGATACTGAGAGTACTGTAGTGATAGCTGTAGCATCCAAGGGACGTGGGCAAGGGATAAAGCTGGTATGAGGACTCCTCCAGTTCTAGAACAGACTCTCTGGCTCTGTCCTGCCAGCAGGCAAGAGTATGGAGGAGCCACAGGATTCAGGGATTCATCTGAGCTCTGTTTTGTGTTCAACTGGGGTCATGCAATCCTTGCAGCCTTGAGGGAGATCATTGTTTAGGGTGGAACCTACACGGGTGAACGAGTCAAGCTTGTAATCCTCAGCCTACAGCCAAGGCCTTTTTGAGGTTTCTTTTTTTTGTGGTTTTTGTTTTGTTCTGTTTTTTTTTGTTTTTTTTTTTGAGACAGGGTCTCACTATGTAGACCAGGCTGGCCTTGAACTTCTGACAGAGATCTACCTGGTTCTGCTTCCTGAGTACTGGGATTAGCAGTGTGCACCACCACACCCGGCCCTCTTTTGAGTCATGTCTCTTACTAGCAGCTATCTTTCTCTGTCTTGTCTCCTGACCCCCAGGAAAGAAAGACAGATGTTAAATTAGTACCCTCTGTTCACATCCCACTGTCCCCACAGCTGCCTGTGTGGCTGTCAGGGTAGCCTGAATTTGGAGAGGAACAGTTCCTCCTTCCACAGAAGGGTTGGAAGGCAGAGGGTCTGGGCACCATTACCTCTGTCCTAGGCCTGTACCTGGGGAGTGAGCGTTGCCAGGGCTCTGGGCTATGGAAATTGGGGATAGAAGGGTTAAATTTTCATCTGAGAAACAACTCGTTCTGGGCAGTCCCAGATGTTTTTGACTCTTTCCAGATGTTCCCAATGAAAAAAACATTTCTCTGCAAAGGTGTCAGATGTTTGGCTTACAGAACAAACAGCACAGGAATAAGAACACCATCTGAGGTCAGCGTGGGGACAAGCCCCACCTCCCGGGGGGAGTGAGACAAAGTTCAAGGTCCTCCTCACAACATTCTACCCCTCTGAGCCCCTAGTGATGGAGGCTTTGGTTAGCTCTGGAGCTAGTGAATTCCAAAGTTGGGGGGATACTGGAGAAGGTTTGGGAGCGGAGGTCACAGGTGTACTACTTGGACTCTGTGGGGTAAAGCTTGCTCAGGGGTTGATTCTGGGGCTCAGGTGACTAAAGGGGGCATAGAAGTTGGCAAGAGGCGGTTGGCATCAACATCCCTTGTGGGAGGGATGCAGATGTGCCCTTTGGACCTCATTCCCATTCATGCCAGGCAGGGACTTGCTTTTGGGAGTGGTGAGGTAGTGGGGCCCCACCGAACAGGTTATTTGTCACTGTTGGGGCCATGTTGTTCTCTTGATGATGACAACAGCACTAAGCCTTGTCCGGATCTCATGACGCCAGAACAAGAGGCTTTATAGCCCACCCCTGCCTCTGCCCTGGGTTGTCCTAACTACACACCTCAACATCTGGCAGCCCCCCCCCCACAACCTTTCCAGGAAGGCAGCATCAGAACAAGACATGGAGGATAAGAAAGGGGCAAGTTGTTTGGGGCTATGGGAAGAAGGTAGGGACTCCGGGATGAGAGAAGGAAGGAAGAGCTCAGACCTCTCTTGCCCTTGGGCATCCTGGGCTTATTGATCTTAGTTACCAGGGAAAGGCAGCTGGTGAAGCAGGACTTAGGTTCAACCCACGGGGACTAGCCAAATCCTCATTCTCAATGGGTCCCTCAACTGGGAGCATTTGAGAATGTGTCAGGGCAATTGTGATAGTCACAGTGGGAACCCCTGGTACATGAAGGCCTTGGACGGGATGGACAGTGGTCCATGAAGAAGAGCTTCCCTGTCTTACCTGCCAAGAGCACCCAAGGAGATAGCACCCATTCTTAATCTCTCAGAGACTAAACCTCCTCATCTGTATGAAGCAGAAATAATTCCAACAGCCAGTTTAGGGTGGCCATATGCAACCAAGGTTATCCTGCATCCTCGGCATGTGGCAGCATTGTGCCCTCAGGAAAGGGGGACAGCTCTGAGGACGGGACAGAGAGGGAAAATTTTGAGACATAAGCCTATGCTATAGACACCTCCCACCCAGTATTTTCCTTTCTTCTGCTGGAAAGGGATCTGGGGAGGAGTAGGCTGAGGCACCTGAAATCCTCCTGTCCTCAGGGCCACGGAGGCCTGGGTAAGTTCTGGAGAAATAAAAGTGAAAGGAAACCTCATCCTTGGGGAGGAGATCAGCATCCTGAGGGACTCAAGAGAACCCTGCAGGGCCACTGGATATCTTCCCCTAATGTGCAGAGAACTGTGGAGTGAGAAGATTGAAGAGGGAAGAGATGGGTGTGGTGGATGACGTAAGAAGGGACCACACTGAGGGACATCTAGGAGACAGCCTGCTGGACAGGACCTATGAGTGCCCCTCATCCCTTGTAATCTCAGGACCCAGAAAAGGGGCACAGAAATCCTGTAAAGGAGCGAGTGATTCTAAGACTACATGAACTTACCCTGAGATGAAGTTGCTATAGAAAACATAGTTTCATATAAAATTACACATCACACACTGGGCTTGTGGGCTGAGTATGCTATGTAAGAATGTTCTCTGCTGTACCCAGGTCCACATGACCCTGGGCTCTGTGGGGTCAGGGGTCAGGGTCAGTCCTAGGAGGACAGCATCTCTGAGCAGAAGGAAGGGCTGCCAGCCCATGAACCTCACAAGTGCCTTAAGGTCTGGGTGAGGGGGCAGGGAGGCAAAAGAGTCTTCTGGGGACTGGGGCTATGGACACACACCTCTAACATGAATTTCCTGGGTGCTGCCTGTTGGGGAGAGCATGAGGGGACGATTGGGCCTCTCCCTCCTGTCCTGACGCCCAGACACTTTTACATGTCTTCACTTAGCACTACTGCTGGCTGACCCTTCCTCTTGCTTCCTTCAGCCCTCATCCACCTCCTCACATGGAGGTACAGAAGGAAAGACAACATACCAGAGGCACCAGGGGAAGGTTTATTATAAGAACTGTACAAAGAAGCTTGTCCGCCAGCCTGGCTTGGGACTGGTTCCTACCTAGAGAAGGTGGGAACAGATGTCACTTTGCAGAGGAGAGGCCCCCAGTCAGGGACAGCAGACCCTGCTCATGACTCTTCCTCTGTAACGATGCTCATAGTCAGTGGAGAATGTCAGAGCTAATAGATTCCTGAGGCTCTGAGGGCCACACAGTCTGGAGCCAGGCAAGGAAGGCAGAGGAACTGGGTGGTGGGCAGGGGATTTCTGATCCCCATTGGAAGAACCTTCTGAAAGGAGAGTCAGTCACCACAGGAAGGAGGCTTTGACTCCTTCCACAGAAGAGGCACAGGAGAGAGACGCAGAGTGGGGGCAAGGCCACAAGCATGGGGATAAGACACAGAGAAGGGAAAGAGAGGAGCTCACAGGGAGGGAACAAGAGAGACATCCAATAGGGCAGGGAAGGCTGAGAGAGCAAACACAAGGAGACGGGGTTGTAGTGTGCACATGAATATACATGTGTGTGCACATGCATCTTATTTTGAAGGTTTTACTGCTTCCTGAGTTTTACTCAAACTGTTTATGAGAAACAAGAAAGAAGAGGAACTTAGGCCAAGAGCAGGCTCAAAGTGCAGAGCTCATCATGTGTGTTCACCCTCACACTCTTTTTTTCTTTTTTTTTGTCATTTTGAGACAGGGTCTCCTTGTAGCTCCAGCTGTCCTGGAACTCACTATGTAGACCAGGCTGGCCTCAAACTCAAAAAGATCCGCCTGCCTCTGCCTCCCAAATGCTGGGACTAAAGGCATGCGCCACCACGCCGGCCACCCTCACACTCTTACAACAGGTCTATTCTTCCACATTTAGGCACACTTACATAAACAGGCCTGCACAGAAGATACATGTGCATACACAGACAGACAGACCGACAGACACTCAGACACACTCCTCAGCTACACTCTCATGGGTCTCAGGCACTTCAAGACACACACTCATAGACACAAAGATACCTAGACACATGTGCATCTTCAGGCACAGCTACACAGTGGTTCACAAACATACAGTCATGGATGAACACATGAATAGCTGTCTACTCAGGCTTGCAAGCAGGGATACAGCCACACAGATACACAGGTACACACACAAATGACTGAATCCAGATTCCCCTGTGCAGGACTCTCACACCCTCCAAATCCAGTCTTTGTTCTCTGGTAGCTGGCAGAGCCTGGTGTAGCCAGGTCTTGGTGAGCAGAGCTAAAGGAAGTGGCTTTCCAGGCAGCGGGAAGCAGGAAGGTTGAGCCCAAGACTGGTGAGCCTCGTTGGCTGCATGCCCAACATCAACGCCTTTCCCATGAGCTCAATTCTAACATCTCAGGATGGCTTTAAGGAGGCAGGGAAGGGTGAGGAGCAGGGAAGAGATGGACACAGATGAGACAAAAAGGGAGAGATCTCTGAGGCTTGATGGGGTTCCAAGCAGCTCCAGTGGTCAAATGAAGGTATGAAGAGAGGAAAAGGGGGCGGGGACAGAATGTCCTTACCGAGCATCAGGGACCTGACCCCAGCCACAGCTGGATACTCAGGCCAAGTGCATGAATGCAGCTGGCAGGACCCAGCCTGTACGACCCATCCATGTGTCCTAGAGAAATGCAATTCCTGAGAGGAATCCTTCCTTGGCTCTTCCCCAGGGACCAGCCAGAGGAACTATCCACAGGCCTGGATATGGTCTGGGGAAAGGCTTCAAAAATCATTTTCTCAGCCTGATGCATCCAGATCCTGTGGCCAATTGGCTTTGTGAGGTGACTTCTGGACTAGAACCTTTTCCCATTTTTAGGGAATTCCTGAACTAGCAGGGGAAAGCTGTGTCCTAGAGTCATGGGTCTGGGAGGGCTAGTTGAGCCCGGGGTTTGGGTGTAGGCTTTCGAGGTTAAGACTTGTCTTTGTCCTGGCTAAAGCTGGGGGGCTTAGGTCACTTCTCAAGGAAAGGTCAGCAGCCTTTAAGACTAGTGACAGCAAGGCAGCCAATTCTCCCATAGTGTGTAGCCTCTTCCCCAAGTGGGGGACAGCGTTCTGATGTCCCGACTTCCCTCTGGCCAAGAGGAGGGGCAGCAGGGCCCATGAGGATGTCAGAGCAATGTAAAGATAACATCAGAAAGCAGAGGCTTCAGCCCAGTCTATATGTGGAGTGCAACTGGCATTTTCCTCAGCACAGGTGTCAAGCCTCAGATTCAAAGGCCTGTTACCCTCACTCTGCACGTAGCCCCTTCACAGGAGCTTCAGACCTGTGCCAATGCTCAGCTGGCCACCCTGATATTGCCCTCTAGACAAGAGACTCTTTGACCCCTGGGCGCACTGTCTGCCCTGGTGGTGGTGGTGGAGGGGGTGGTGGTGGAGCAGGAGTCAGGGCTGTGTCTGAGGGGCTGGCAGGTGTGGTGGGTCCAGCATCCCCTGTAGAGCCCTCCTTCTCCTCCCCATGGCTCTGCATACCACTGTTCCCATTCTCAGGACCATACATCTTGTTCATGGTGCTGGCAATCAGTCCCTCCTTCTCAGGGGCCCCATCACCATTGCCGTCTTGGCTGTGGCGGTACATGTATGAGGCCTGCTTCACAGTGCGCTGCAGCAGGTGGCGACGGTAGGCCCTCTGGATTTTGATAGCACACACCTCCTCTTGCTTCCTTTTGAGTGTGGTAGTGATAGGCTCATAGGAGACCTTGGACGGGTTGGCTGCCATGAACTTCTCCTCCATGGTCTGCTTGAGGGCATCCATTTCCCCCGAGTCTCCCAGCACCTCTTTGGTTAGGGCAAAGAGGATATCCAGGCAATGGATCTTGTCCCCTGGCACCATGGGCAGGTCCAAAGTGATAAGTTTGATCTTGTTGGGCTTGGCGATCCTCAATGGCTCCTGTAGGGTATCCACAAAGTCGGAGAGGCGGCTGTAGTCGATAAACTGAGTGGCATCAGGGTCAAACTTCTCCCAGGTCTCATAGAACATCTCGAAGTCATCCTCACTGAGGGGCTCACTGCTCTCCTCGGTGGCCACATTGAAGTTCTCCAGGATGATGGCAATGTACATGTTGACCACAATGAGGAAGGAGATAATGATGTAGCTGCAGAAGAAGCAGATGCCGATGGATGGGTTACCACAGTCACCTCTGATATTGGTGCCTGGGTTCTCCAATGTGGGGTCACAGTCTGGGGGCCCACTGTTGAGGATGGGGTTCAGAAGTCCATCCCAGCCAGCCGATGTGGTAATCTCAAAGAGGCAGATGATGCTGTTGCCAAAAGTCTCAAAGTTGAACATGTCATCGATGCCTGACTCTTTCTTGACATAGGCGAAGTTGGACATGCCGAAGATGGAGTAAATGAACATGACTAGGAAGAGGAGGAGGCCGATGTTGAAGAGAGCGGGCAGTGACATCATAAGGGCAAAGAGCAGGGTCCGGATACCCTTGGCCCCACGGATCAGACGCAAGACGCGCCCAATTCGTGCTAAGCGGATCACACGGAACAGCGTGGGTGACACAAAATATTTCTGGATCAAGTCAGAGAGCGCGAGACCTGTAGAGAGAAACAGGCTGCTGGCTCAGGGAATTGAGGGCAGGGGGCCTGGCCTGTTTTACTCAAGCCTCTAAGCATGGCCCAGAGGTCATGATTGATCAGGCTGGCCTCTCCCAAGGTTCTTGGGAGCCAAGGGGACTACTTTGTGCTGACAGTTGGAAGTGGACTATGCTAAAATTGATGGGGGGCATCCTTAAATCTGTTTGCAGGTACTATAGATAAGAGAGGATGAGATGGAGCAAACAGCTAAGAGACTCATTTGTGACTTCATTTCCTCATCAATAAAATGGGAATGAGAACAGTATTAGCCTTATGGCATTGTTGTAAACAATGAGTAGGGCAATGCCAGTCACGATGCCTGGCATACAGTAAATACTCAATAAATAGTGGATAGTTATTGTCATGGTTACATATCAGTGCTCCTTTCAATGTGTATAGACCCTGAGACTGTCCTGAGACTGTCTTCTTGTGTGTGTGTGTGTGTGTGTGTGTGTGTGTGTGTGTGTATGTGTACATCTGCCACAGAGCACGTGTGGAGGTCAGAGGAAAGAGGTCATGATTGATCAGGCTGGCCTCTCCCAAGGTTCTTGGGAGCCAAGGGGACTACTTTGTGCTGACAGTTGGAAGTGGACTATGCTAAAATTGATGGGGGGCATCCTTAAATCTGTTTGCAGGTACTATAGATAAGAGAGGATGAGATGGAGCAAACAGCTAAGAGACTCATTTGTGACTTCATTTCCTCATCAATAAAATGGGAATGAGAACAGTATTAGCCTTATGGCATTGTTGTAAACAATGAGTAGGGCAATGCCAGTCACGATGCCTGGCATACAGTAAATACTCAATAAATAGTGGATAGTTATTGTCATGGTTACATATCAGTGCTCCTTTCAATGTGTATAGACCCTGAGACTGTCCTGAGACTGTCTTCTTGTGTGTGTGTGTGTGTGTGTGTGTGTGTGTGTGTGTGTAAGTTTGTGTAGATCAAAGGATAACCTTCCTCCTCAGGTGCCATCTACCTTGCTTTTGGAAACAGGGTCTCTCACTGGCCTGGAGCTCGCTGATCTCTGGGTGGTCAATAAGCCCCAGGATCCTTCTGTTTCCATTCCCCCAGCACTGGGACTGCAAGCATGTGCCACCATGCTCAACCTTTTGACATGGATTTTGGGGATCAAGCTTAGCTCCTTATGCTTGTGCAGCAAGTACTTTATTGACTGGGCCATCTCCCCAGCCCTTTCTTATGCGTTTGAGTCAGTATTCAGGCTCCTGAGTATGCATCTGCTGGTTGGACCAACGTGTTTCTTGAGGTGATTTCATGTGTGTGCAGGTGACAAGCTGCCTGTGAACAATGCACAACTTTGTGCATGAAAGATGAATGGCAAGTACAAGCATGAGTTTGTGTAGGTGTGTGAGTGTATGAGTGTGTCAGGGGCCTTACTTAGCAGGTCTGTGTAGTCAAAGAAGGCCCTCCTGTACAATTCTTTTTGGTGCTGCCCTATAACTCACCCACAATGGACAAGATGACAACCACAAAGTCAAAGATGTTCCAGCCGATGGTGAAGTAGTACTGACGCAAGGCGAACATCTTGAGTACACACTCTCCTGTGAAGATGATGATGAAGACCATGTTGATGTTATACAGGATGTCCACCTTGAGCTGGCTCTGGTCATCCGTCTCTACCATCATGGTGACCATGTTGAGGCAGATGAGGATCATGATGGAGATGTCAAATGCCTGCTTTGTCACGAAGTCGTATACCATGCCCTGGATCTTGTTCTGCAGCAGAGTGGGAGTGCCACCATGTGCACATGAGATGAGGAGTGGGTCAGGGCCAGGCAGAATAGGGATGAGTGGGAGACACAGGATGGCACAACAGCAGGAGGGAGAGGGGGAAGAAGGGGAGGGGAGAAGGGAGGGGAAAGGAGAGGAGACAGTCTCCTACAGGAGGGAAGGATCTGGAAACACATCATTTTCTTGGGGGGGTGTCTGTGCTCATCCCACCCCACTCTGGGAACTTTCCTCCCTTCAAAGTTCCCTAGTCATCCCTCCTCCTCTCCCAAAGTCATTGCTCACTGGGGTGTGTGGACATCCTTTTCCTCTCTCTTGTTGGAACCCCTGTCCCAGAGACCAGAGGTCCCACACGAAGAGCTAGGCAGACACTGGGAAGTTATGTGGGGCTGGATGAGGGGGTAATCCAGTGACCAGAGTCTAGAGACATTTGCTGTGCTTGCAAGCACTGCCTCCCTGAGGTTATGACTCCTTGTTGGTGGTGGTGAGCAGAGCACAGGCTGTATTGTCCCCTGCTGTCCCTACTTAGGTAGCAGCCTAGTACAGGCTACAGGAGGATGGGCCCAGAGCCTGGTACCTGGGGCCGAGGAATAGGCTTCTGGGGCTTCTTGGAGCCGAGCTTCTTCATAGCATTGTAGTATTTCTTCTGTTCCTCTGTCATGAAGATATCTTTTCCTCCAAAGTATAGTAGGATGGGAACAGTAAGACTGAGGTGGGGCCCCCTTCTCTGCCTCCAGGACCCTCTATTTAAAGTACCACCTTTAAGGTAGTCCTTATCCTTTAGAGGCATCTGGTGGGAAGGCAGAAGGGGTTCTGGAAGGGCTAGAGGTGGAGGGGAGGGGAAGAAAGGTAAGGGAACTAGAGGAAACTGGGTCCAAAGAAGGGCAGATGAGTGAAGGAAGGAAGGGAATCAGTTTTCCCTTTTGGGCCAATTTTCCAAATTCAGGCTAACTTCCATCAGTGTCTCAGACCTTATTATAACCTAGCAAGGCAGGTATGTACCTAATTTTATTTGTTGTTACTGCTTTGAGACAAGATCTCTGTAGCCCAGGCTGGCCTCAAACTCATGAATCTCCTGCTTCAGCCTCTCTAGTACTGAAATTCTAGATGTGTTGACACCATACCTGCCTCTGTATTCACTTCATTTTATAGATCAGGAAAATGAGTTTTGAGGGGGTGGGGGACAAGTCACTGTTCAATCCCCTGGTGGGATTTAGCTCTATATGCTCACTGTTTTGACTATGCCAGCTGGGGCAGTGACTGCTCAGGGCTGCTAAGGCAGCTGGTGACTACAGGGAGGAATGAGTCGATGGGGTGGGGGGTGAGGGGAGACTAGAGGAGCTGAGGAGGGCCAGATACTTATCTTCTTCTTCTGTTGGTTGAAGTTGTCGATGATGACACCAATGAAGAGGTTGAGCGTGAAGAAGGAGCCAAAGATGATGAAGATGACAAAGTAGAGGTACATATAGAGGTTCACCTCATATTGTGGCTGCTCCTCTTTCTGCAGGGGCCACAAGATAGGGCAGGATGGGGTTCACACACAGTTTCTCCCTGATCCCCAAAATTTTATGGGCAAGGCCCCCTACTCCCAGGTTTCTGGGCTTCCAAGGAAATGGAGTGGTGGACTGGGGATGGTAGGGTGGGGTTGACAGAATGTATCTCTGTGCCAGTTTCCCTGACTTACTCACCGACTACATCTCAGTGACCCGACTCACCTCCCGGGAGTCCACGGCTGCATACATGATGTCCATCCAACCCTTGAAAGTGGCCTGAGGAAGCATGGCAGGCCATGAGGGAGGCTTGCCCCTGATTCCATCGTTCATGTCTCCCTCCCCTCCCTAGCCTAATCTCCCTCAGGGCCTGCCAGGACCCCATGGGGCAGCATCAAATAGACTAGAGAGATCTAAACGCTACCTCTGGGTCCCACAGCATTGCAAGCAGGGTGGGTCACCCCCTAACAAGGAACAACATTGGGTTTTGATCCAGTGGGATGGTTAGGTACTTCTACCCCAGATCTGGGCAGGTCCAGTAGATGCCACTCACCACCTGTAGGAGGGAGAGATAGCCCAGACCCACGTTGTCATAGTTAACCTTGACGTTGAGCCAGCGGACCTGGCCCGTATGCATGAGGCTCTCACACTCAGACTTGTTGTTGACCTCAGAGATATCAAATCTCTCTGAGGTGGTTGTGTTGATGCAGTAGTAGAACTTTCCAGCAAACAAATTGACGCCCATGATGCTAAAGATGAGCCAGAAGATGAGACAGACAAGGAGCACATTCATGATGGAGGGGATGGCTCCCAGAAGGGCGTTCACCACCACCTAGAGGGGAGATGTCAGGGGTCATTAGCAGAGCCACTCCCAGGCATCTGACAGGGGACTGCTCAGCTGTAACCAACCAGGGAACCATGCTGAGCTGAGCAGTACCACCCAGCAAGGGCCAATCTGAGACAGGCCTGGTGGAAGAGGGGTCTTCTGGGATATATAGGTATAGGGGTGAGGGATAGGGTTGGGGAGCTACCGGCCTGGTCATGTAGAAGGGTTCTTTGCTTGCCTGGAGGCACCAAGGCAGAGAAGGGGTGCCAGGCTTCTCTGGAAGCAGCCAGGTCATGGGTCACCAGGCAGGAGACAAACACCCTTTCCTCAACCCCCATAGGAAACTCAGCACATGTGACCTGGCCCCTGCACATTGGCTCACAGCATTAGTGACAAAGACACAGAAAAAGCACAGAAAGAGGCCACTGGGGTTTGTGAAGCAAAAAAATTCAGGGCTGGAGCCCTATCCCTCACCAGCCCTGGTCATACAGGCTCACTAAACTGTTACAGTATTGGTTGAATCTGAGAAACTGTCTCTCATACACATACTTAAATTTTTTATTTTGGAGGGGGACAGGGCCTCATGTAGCTCAGGCTGATTTTGAACTTGCTATGTAGCTGAAGATGACCTTGAATTTCTGATCCTCCCACCTCTATTTCCTGAGTGCTTGGATTACAGGTATGTGCCACCACGCTTGGTCCATGCAGTGCTGGAGATTGTGCCCAAGGCTTTGAGCATGCTATGCAAGCACTCTTCCAACTGAGCCACATCCCTAGCCTGATTAGTCCCTTTTTAAGGAAAGAGCTATTTCATTGTATCTAGAGTTTGGTGGCAGAAGCCTGGGGAGCTTTGATCCTTAAACCATTCAGTTAACCACAAACAGGTTATTTCCCTCAGTGGGGAGAGGGCCTCAGCACCAAGATGGAGGGCCCAGCCTTGGTCCAGCCTCTTGCAAGAACAGAAAGAATACATTTGGACTAAGCTTGTGCTGGCCTGGATCCAGTGGAGCAAGTATTTTTTCCCAGCAGATCTCCCTTTGCTGGGGAAAGCCACTGATCTTGGCCAGACCCTGTGTTTACCTGTCACTTCCGCTCTCACAGGCCTGTGGGGATCTTCTCTAAAGTGCCCCTGAACTCAAGGGTATGGCTCTGAGTTCAAAAGGGGCAGGCTCAGAGCCAGAGCAGGAATACTCTCCCATTTGCTTATGGTATAGGACCCTTGGGGAGCCCAATATTAGGTGGGGAGGGAGGAACCCACAGGAGCCCACAGGTCTGCCTTTCTCTTCTGGCCTCAAGGTTTCCAGGTCACTTCAGCAGTCTCTGCTGACCCCCAGTGGTGGCAGAGATAAGCTAAGCGTGTAAGGCTGGGATCAGCAGTCCCACAATCTGGAGATGGGCCACAACTCTAAAACCCAACCATCAACAATTTGAGCCTTCTGCCTGCCCCTGGTTGGCTGCAATGTTATGCACCTTGCAATATGGGTGGCTGCTCCCCTATCCTGAGCCCTCCTCAGCAACCTGCCTCCAGTACCCACCCTCATGCCCTCAAATCTAGATAGTGCCCTCAGGGGACGCAGGGCTCGCAGTGTGCGCAAGGATTTGATAGGTCCGAGTTCAGAGTAGCCCAGCCAGTTGGCCACAAGGCTAATGATGGAGACCTGTAAAAGGAAGGGTGTATGGTTAGGAGGTGCAGGAGCCCTGGCCTCCCTCCATCCTAGGATACAGCTTTTAGGTCAGCCTCACCACGGGAGGGGAAATCTGAATTTCTGATTATTTCCTGTGGACCCCATTTCTAGTGGATGATCTAGACTGGTGGGAAGAGCAGCCTAGTGACCTCTAGCATGTCTAGAGCCTGGGCTCACCTAAGCAATGTTAACAATGACAGTAAACAGGAAGGACACAGTACCCACCTCCTTCGTGGTCCTATGTGCCTATTAAAGAACATATGAACATTCCCCCTACCTCCTGACACTAGTGGGATCATGAGGCCCCAGGTCTCTCTCTCCTTAGCAGAGGGCTGTCTCTCCTCCCCTTCCCTGGGCTGCAGTATCTGAGAAGCAAGAGGCCAGTCTTCATGGAGGGCAATGATTATCTGGGAGTCTGATGTTCCATGTGGCCTCAGGCAGGTCCTACCTCCCAGAGCCCAGGTTCCCTAAGGGCCTCCACATCTGGTTGTATAGCTAACCCCAGATGACTCACGTCCACAATGAGGAAATCAAGCCAGCACCAGGCGTTGGTGAAGTACACCTTGAAGCCGTAGGCCACCCACTTGAGTAGCATCTCCAGGATGAAGATGTAGGTAAAGACCTTGTCGGCGTATTCCAGGATGGTGCGGATGACTGGTCGCTGCTCAATGTAGATGTCTTCAAAGGCCTGGGGACCCCAGCAATGACCAGGGACTTAGAAGGTGGGCCAGTAGCCCTATCCCCCATCCTGACTGCTGCTCAAGTTCCCAGGGGGTCTTCCATGGGAAGCAGATTGGGGCAGCTCTGCACATCTTCCAGACCCTAGCCCATCATGGGGCGGGTGAACTTCCTGTTTGGGAAGGAATCTTAGTTCTCAATCGCCTGCTGGGGATTCCACAGTTCCCTATTTTCAGTCCTACCTTCCCTTAACTCCAAATTCCCAGGGTCCACCTACCTTCCTACTGGCTGAGGGGAGGAAAAGTGAGTGCCTATAACCCAAGGCGCCCATCTGTCACTTTAGGAAGAAAATGGTGGGCTTGGGAGATGGCCATACAAGTGTGAGGATTGGGGTTCAGATCCCCAGAGGCTATGTAAAAGCTCTGTGGGAGGGGCAGCCTGCCTGTAAGCCCAGAACCCAGGAAGGGACAGGAAATCCCTGGGGTAAACTGGTTAGCCAGACCAGCCCAAACAGTGGGCTCTAAGACCCTACCTCAATAGATAAGCTGGAGAGTGATCAAGGAAGTAAGACACCCAACATCAACCTCAGGCCTCCACATGAACATGCACATGTGTGAGTATACACCTGCACTCACATGTGTGCACACGCACATGCAAACATGCACACACGCATGCACGCACGTGTACATATACACACAAACATACACACACAAATACTAGAACACCTCTAGAGGTTCAGATGAGCTCCCCCTTAAGATTCCCTGGGTTTGGAATTGTCCTGTCTGTACCCAACCCTGGGGTGAAGGGGTGGGAGCCTTAGGGGGCAGGCACCTGATTCTGTTCCTGCCCCATCCCTGGGGGGTGCCTACCAGGGCTCCACTGCTGAGCAGGATCATGAAGACAATGAAGGTCTCGAACCAGTTGTGCTCGACAATCTTGAAGCAGGCCCTGCGCAGCGTCCACCACATCTTCCCACGGCCCTGGGAGATGTCCACATAGAGGCAGGGGCAGCGCTGCACACAGGCTGAAGGGCAGGGAAGCACCATGTCATGAGCCATTGGATGCTCCAGGATAACCCTCTCCAGCTTCTACCTTGATGCCCTACGACCAGGGCCCCACTTCCTCCTTACACCTGGTTCCATCAGGTACACATGGGGGGCTCAGCTCCTCCTTCCACAATGTACTTCAACCGTGTGTCAACTACTGCCAGGATAGACACAGGGAGGAAAGACGCCCCACAAACAAGCTCAGGCCATCAGCTGTCCCCATCCTCATCTTCTTGCCTAATCCTAGGTTCTTTGGTCAAAAATGCCTCTAAGGCTCAGAGGTAAGGCAGGGTGGGCAGCACTGAGGAAAAAAGCCCTATGCTTTCATGCAAGGGGGAGGCATCCAAGTTAGGTGAGGGGCTGGCCTGCAGCTACATCCTCACCCTCGGTGAAGCATTCCTCAGGCAGCTCCCCCTCAGGGTTCTCCTCAGCCTGCTCTTCAGGGTCCTCTTCAGGGGGCTTGTAGTCAGCTGTACTGCAGACGGAGGAGTTCCCATCATAGAGGGGCTTCAGCGGCTTCTGCAGGGACCACAGAGACACATGATCCCTGAGTCCCAAGAGATCCCTTCATCCTCCCACCGGGCGGAGCAGTATGGGGGGAGCCAGCAGAGGAGAAAGGAGAGTGGAGCAGACTTGTTCGTTCGTTCATTCATTCCTCACTCAGCCCTAGTAGAACCCCAGTGACAAAATGGCCTCAGTTCTGCCCTCCTGGAACAAGAGGCCTGGGAAAGCACAGTGAAGGCATGAGGAGGCAAGTGAGGACCTCAGGCTGGGACAGGAGATGGGGTGAGCGGTGGTATGAAGTTCAGTGGAGTCCTGAGAGGTGCGGGGAGGTAGGAAGGGGCGCAGCAGAGGAAAATCTGCCTCAAGGTGCTTTTGAAGGGGACAGGGATAAGCAAAGGGGTTAGGATGGTTCTGGGTTGCCACAGATGCAGATAGCAGGCACATGGTGCCCCCTGCGCCTGAGCTGTCCCACCCCCAGGGTCTGTTTGGCTGAGAGATCCAGAAAGGATGGAAAATTTTCCCCAGCCAAGGCTCCAGTGTGGCGCCAAGGGAACCTGATCGCAGTGGGGGCAGGGTGTAGGGGCTGGTGCTCTGGGCCTGGCTAGGTCTCCTCCCACTTCCTGGTGCTGTTCCAGGCCAGATTCCCAGGCTAGCCTCCTGCTGCAAGGGGATCCTTCATGGTGAGGCCCCTAAAGAGACAGTTCAGTTGGGCAGTCCCCTGACCACCCCTGTGTATGTGTGTGTGTGTGCGCGTGTATGTGTGCGTGCTTGCGTGTGTGTGTGTGTGTGTGTGTGTGTGTGTGTGTGTGTGTGTGTAGTTCTGTATTCAAGGCAATGATCAGAAAACCAAGATCTTGTTCCCAGTTGACAGAAAGGGAAACTGAGCCTCAGAGCATCAAGTCAGAGTATGCGCTAAACTGCTGGCTTCACCTGTACACATCAACACCCACAATCGTCCTGTTTGCTCCTCAGACCTCTTCCCTTTCCAGAGCCATGGGCCCAGGACTCTCTAGCTAACCCCTCCCACACTGAGTTCCTAGTACTGAGGTCGAGGTTGGTGCCATGTTTCCTGGGGTATTTATAGCACAGCAGGCCTTAAGCCCCCTGGTAAGTCAACATGCCATATATTTCTGGGAGGTGGGGCGGGGGGAGGGTAAGGAGTCAACAGCTTTCAGGGCAAAGTTTGTTAGGCGCCAGTGCCCAGCCAGGGCTGGATAGGGCCCCTGGCTTCCTTCATGTGTTAGTCCTTTTTATGTCAGGGCTGAGAGATGGGTGAGGGGCTCAGGGTCAGCTTCCCTGGGTGGCCCAGGAAGGGTCTAAGACTCAGCTCTAGGCTCTAAGGGTGACCACCGCTTGCGTTGCCATGCCTGATCATCCCCCAAAGTGGTGCCACAGCTCTCTGATCTCCTTGTCTCCAACTCCCACTAGGACCTCTTGCTCCTGTCCTCAGAGTCCCTGGCCTGGACCTGGCACTTTGGTCTATACTAGAAGGTTGGGACCAACCTCAGAGGCATTCTAAGCAGGAATGGGTGACTATGCCACCTTCAGCCAGCATGGGGGCCTTAGGGCCACAAATCAGACCTGAACATATATATGTTGGGTAAAGATTTGCAGGAGCTTCAGCCCAGTAGGGTATTTAAGAGAGGCCTCTTGGGGGGCTGGGGAGATGGCTCAGCAGTTAAGAACACGGGTTATTCTTGCAGAAAACCCAGGTTTGAATCCCAGCATCCACATGGCAGCTAACAACTGTCTGTAACTCCAGTCCCAGGGGATCCGACAGCCTCTTCTGACCTCCATAGGCATTGCACAACACGGGTGCACTTACCTACATGCAGGCAATATACGCATACACATAAAATAAAAATAAAATTTTTTAAAAAAAGAGAGGCCTCTTGGGTCCCCAGTCATGGAGCTGAGGTGCCACAGGCAAGCACACCTGTCCAAGAATGCCCTCTGCTGGCAAGAAGGGCCCAGGTGGAGTTTTGGCCTTGCCAATCACAGCACTCATGGAAGCAGTCTTAACAGTCACCATTACATAGAACTGATTATGTGCCACCCAACACAGCACAACAATGCCACAGGGCAGGTACCACATTGCACCTTTTACATATGGAGAAAGTGAGAGTCACAGAGGATGTGTGACTTGCCTAAAGTCACACCAAACTTTGAAGCCAGGTCTTTCTGGCCTCTGACCCCTTCAGCTGGATGACCTGGCTCACCTTGCTGTCCTCAGGCTCCGAGAATGTGTCAGTCTCCTCCTCCGTGGGCATCTCCAGGTCAGACTCCTCAGAGGCGATGGGCACGTGAATGGTCAGGTAGGGGTTGTTGATGAAGTTGAGGTGGTCCAGCTCGATGCTGGAGGGAGGGCTGTCAGGCAGGCCCACATGGTTCAGGATATGCTTGTCCTTTTTCAGGTCCTTGTCCCCATCTTCAGGTGGTGGTTCCTTCTTCTCATCCTCAAGAGCACTCTCCCCAGCCTCCCCGGGCTCCCCAAGGCTGAGCATTATATCCTTGGGGCTCAGGATCTTGCCATGAAGCAGGCCCAAAAGGAAGGCCTTGGCAAAGCCGATGCCCCACTTGATGCGCCCGATGGCAATCTGCAGATTGTTCATCTCGCCATCCTCATCCGAGGCTGCCAGGCTGTCAGCACTGAAGGAACTCAGCAGGAGGGCCAGGAATAGGTTCAGGACCTGAGAAGCAAGGTGGAGAGTCTCAGGCCAGTGTCCAGGGCACTGGGGTGGGGAGCAGGAAGTTGGGGTACTACCTTCAGTCAGTATGGGGTCTCCAGAGCTACAGTCAGGCCTGTCTCATGTTGGGTATTTAAAAGGATTCACCTAATGAAGTGCTCACAACTGTTCACTGCTGGAGGGGAGGATGGCTACTATCATTCCCACTTTGCAGACTTGGAAACTGAGGCTCTCACCTGTCATAGGACCCTACTGCCCAAGGCAGTAACAGGGTTTGGGGAGATGCATTGACTGACAGATGGTGGCTGTTCTCTACTTCCACTGTTGGGAAAAGGAGAGCAAAGAACAAGACTCAAGTCCTAGCTTCTAGAACTTTGGGGATTCTTAATTATATATAATATAATAAATATATATGTGTATATTTTTTGACACAGGGTCTCCCTGTAGCCTCAGCTGACTGGAACTCACTAAGTAGACAAGGTTTGCTTCAGTCTTACAGAGATCTGCCTGTCTCTACCTCCTGCAAGCTGGGATTAAAGGTATGTACCACCATGCTTGGCCTTAATTTTTTTAGGGAAGGTGTATATAACTCAAGTTGACCTTGAATTTGAGACCCTCCTGCCTCAGCCTCCTGAGTGTTGGCATTATAGGCACTTACCACCATATCTTGGTAGAAAATCTTAATCTTTGAGGCTTTTCTCCCCTCTTGTATTAAATGGGATTTTTTTTAAAAAAAGGTTTATTTTATATGTATGTGTATGCATGCAACATGAGTGATGTAGGTATCCACAGAAGCCAGAAGAGGGCATTTGATCCCCTGGAACCAGAGTTCTAGGCAGTTGTGAATGGCCTGACATGGGTGCTAGGAATTGAACCTAGGTCTTCTGTAAGAGTAATGAGTGCTCTTAACCAAACACTGAGTCATCGCTGTAGTCCTTAACTGATCCCTGGTCCCCTGTGTTCAGCGGCCTGTCCTCTGCTGCTCTGGGAGGGACATTTGGCCTACAACTGCCCACCCACTCCTAGTTTCCTTTCCCAATACCTGCTGGTCAGATTTTTATTTTTTGTTTTTTTTTTTTTTTTTTTTTGGTCTTTTGGAGACAGGGTCTCCCTGTAACCCCAGCTGTCCTGGAACTTACTATATAAA